CCTCGCCTACTGTTTCTCTCTCATCCCTGAGGGCGGTGTCCTCAAGAGTTGGCAGTGGCTCTTCCTCGCGTACGGTATCATTTCAGTCATCTACGGCATCGGCGTCGGCTACTGGATGCCCGACTCTCCCATGCGCGCCAAGTGCTGGACCGAGCAGGAGAAGCACGAGATGGTCGAGCGTGTCCGTGACAACCAGACCGGCATGCAGAACCGAAAGTGGAAGATGGAGCAGGCCATTGAGGGCATCAAAGACCCTCAGACCTGGGGATATGCTCTCATCGCCCTTACCACGACGCTCCCCACCTCCGGCCTGGGCGCCTTCTTTAACCTTGTCGTGAAGGACTTTGGATTCAGTACCATTGAGACGCAGCTTCTGGCCATGGTTCTCGGCTTCTACATCATTTTTGTTCTCTTGACCTCAGCCTGGCTCGTCAAGAAGACGAACCAGAATTTGCTGGTCATGCTTTGCTTCTGCCTCCCGTAAGTGAAATCCAGCGCGATGCCCGGCGTTAACTGTCCAAGAAAGGATGGGAGTAACCGAGTACTAACTTGGGCCATCATAGATCCTTCGCAGGAACTGCGGTTCTCATGGCCGTTCCCAACAACACCCTTGCCCAGAAAATCGGACTGCTCATCAGCTACTACATCACACTATCCTTCTGGTCCGCTCAGACTCTCAACTTGTCCATGATTTCTCGAAACGTTGCTGGGCAGACCAAGAAGTCAGTCGTTGTTGCAACCAACTTCATCGTCTGGGCGGCTGGCAATGCCATCGGTAAGTTTTGATATTCGCCTCCCTTTTTCATAGTATACCTTCTAATGCGTCCTTCTCACCAGGCCCGCAAGTGTTCTTGGAGCGAGATGCCCCGAGGTACTTCATCGCCTTCGCCACACATCTGGGATGCTACGTGGTGCTTGTTGGTGCCATCATCTTCCTCCGATTCTACCTCCGCAGCCAGAACAAGAAGAGAGACAAGCTGGCTGCTGATGGTGTAGCTGAGGCTCGTGATGACAACCTCACGCGTGCCTGGGATGATTTGACCGACAAGGAGAACTTGAATTTCCGATACGTATACTAGAATGAATATTCAGGAGTTGACTGAGGACGACAGGTGGATAGTGATAACTGTAGAAACCCACTCAATTCAGTTTACTTTCTGTCAAAATGGTGGCATTAATCGTTTTGAGTAAGGATAATCATCAACACGTAAAGAAGAGGTACTTTCAAGGTGAGATGTTGATTCTGCCTGTCTCTCTGTAGCCTCTGCCAAAGATCATGACGTGTGTAAACCCCAACTAACCGCGTGTCGGAGTCTCTGGACTTTTCATACTGTCAGCTCAGTGAGTTGGAAGTAGGGTGACTTGCGTAGTGAGGGTTTAATACTCAGAATCAGCATCATTTGACACATGGTTTCTGTGCTTCCATAGGCCTCCAAACCTGAGAGGTAAGCGCTTCCATTCAAAGCAAATGCATTCAGATATCTCAAGATAGTTACAGTACTAAGAATTATGAAATATATATTTAACCTGGAAGAGCCTGGACAACCTGGGCCCAATCAGCATTTGTGTATGCCCCGGGAAGGTGGTGACCGTCAAACAGGCTTGCCATGATCACACGATCAGACTGCTCGCCCTCCCACGGCTGCCTTCCATGCTGAGAGATGATGTTATCGTAAACAAGTACATCTCCCTTTTCCCATTTATGCAGCACCCGAATTTCATCAGTTATCTTTGCCAGCTTCTCGAGGTAGTGATCTGGGATAGGGGTGCCATCGCCGTATAGTTGCTCCGTGATTTGTTTGCGGGTACTCGATCCGCCCTGAGAATTCTTCCAATACGCAGCTAAGCCGGTAAATAGAACTGGGAGATTGGTGTTGGGCTGGGTACGGATGACTGGGATTCTGTGCGAGACTATGATCCCGTCATCGATCCATTCCCATGTTGTGTGTTTCCCGCGCCCATAGCGACCAATCTGTGCTTCTATTTTCGCACGCCGGGTTGCATCGTCATCTTCGTCCTTGATTTCCTTGCCGAAGGCTTCCCTGAGAGTAGATCCTCCGGTGTACTGTCGATCGAACTTGTACGTGACTCTGCTGAGGAGGCCTTCCTCCCCAATCTTTTGGATGAATTCTGGGATCTCTTGTTGCGCGCGTGCGAACAACTCAATTGATGATGAAATAGGCGTCTGACCACCTTTGATAGGCACCTTGTGACCGTAAAAGAAGATGTATTCAGGGGCGTGAGGGACCTGGGGTGATTCGTTATGGTTATAGATCTCGACATGTTTAGGAGCCTCGTTCGCCGGCGCTACGTTGGGTGCCAAGACCGGCCTATCGACCACGATGCCTATAATCTCATGGGGATTATACCCAAAGGCATGAGCGAAGCGACTGAAATCATCTGCCGAGGAAATGGGCAGCCCTCTGAACAGTATCGTTCCATGGCGGGCCAGTGCTTTCGTGAGCAGTCCGTCCTTGCCCTGGAGATTCTGGATACGATCGATGATCGAGTCAAGGGTTATTTCTTCATTTCCAGGAACTGCACGTAACGCGAGAGGCGTGGTGTATGTCTGATTTTGAGACGTGGTGACGACTCTTTGATTGCTTGCGGGGAGGTTAAATTCTTCAAACACGGCCGAGAGGTCCAATCCGCCATTGGCTGTATCAAGTTTCTCAGAAGACGACATTTTGAAAGAAGTCTAAAAGTCACCTTATTTGTCTCTTAATGAAATTGTATCAGGAGCATGATATCAAATAGATGAATGATCGAAGAGGGGAAGTTTCAGCCGAACATGCCGAGGGCTGACTGCATTCCATGTATCGTATCATGGCTGTTGAATATGGCGTCATCCCGATCCGCATAGACTTATTGAAAGACAGAACTGACGTCAAAGATAAGAGAAAAGACGTCGTCACGAGTAAGTGCATATGCAGACGATAATGAACTGCCGATTCTCGGGGGATGCGATAAATGGATTGTCAAGCGATGGCTCTAGGCCTCGTTCACTGCCTGTGTGGATTGGATGGGCAGCGATCTCACGAGCTGAATATTGGTATTTTTTTTGGCGTTCAATTGAGCAAGAAATTCACGTGAGATTGTTTCTTTGATGTTGCTATGAATATCCCAGAAGTCGTTTGACCCATCACCTTTAATCATAGAGCCTTAATACCGGTTGCTAAACCCCGTTACCGACCGGGTGGTTTAGGCGGTAGCCTGAATGATGTATGTGGTGTTACATTTGACGTGATCAGCATGTACGAAAGTGTCCACTATTCGACAGAGTTTACCAAGGTAATATGCTGGGGTATGTTAAACGTATATTACTATGTCCACCTTAACACCTTAACTCCAGCTTCATACCTATAGTCGGACCCTTAATCTAACTTGTATACTTTCAACATCACTCCCAAATATTGGGGGAATAGAACTCAAAATGTCGGGAAACATTCATTCAAGATCACGGGACGAAGAGTCAAATGTGGAAATAAGCCACTCCAAGAAGCCCGATAGTATCTCCAGGCAGAATGCTCAAAGTTCGGTGACGCCGTCATCAGAGGATGAGGCCGGAGTACCGGTGCTCAAGATCCCCTTCTTTAGAACAACGTTATTCCAGATCCTTGTTGTTGGGATATGCTCGTTTTGCGCGCCCGGTATTTGGTCGGCCATGAATGGACTCGGCGTTGGTGGTTCTCAAAGTCCGGATCTCGTCAATGCCGCGAATGCTTTGCTGTATGCCTTCATGACGGTTACCTGCTTCGCTGGCCCTTGGATAACAAACCTGATTGGGTTTCGTTGGACGCTGGCACTCGGGTCGATCGGATACCCTCTTTACGCCGCAGGTCTTTACGTCAACAACCGTACTGGAGGCACCTGGCTGGTGTATTTTGGTTCCGTCACTTGTGGTATAAGCGCTGGTTTCTTCTGGAGCGTTGAGGGAGCCATCTCAACTGGCTACCCAGAGCACCACAAACGTGGTCGATATATTGCTACGTGGTTCACCTTTCGCAACTTTGGCAACGTTATTGGAGGTGCGATTTCTCTTGCATTGAACATCAATGTCAACAAGCGAGGCCAAGTAGGGTACCAAACCTACCTGGCCTTCATTGCAATCCAATGCCTTGGGTTTTTCTTCGGGCTCCTACTCTCTAACCCCGAGAAGGTCCAACGAGATGATGGAACAAAAATCGAAGCTCCTCGAGACATTCATTGGTTGGTGGAGGCAAGAGCCATGTGGTCACTGGTCACAAGCAAGTCGATCCTCATTTTGATACCGCTCTTCTGGTACTATGGCTGGATCCAGGCATATCCCGGCACATATCTAGCCACATACTTTAGCGTGCGGTCCAGAGCTCTCGGGAGTTTTCTCTCGGCCGTAGTTGGCACGTTCGCGACCTGGCTCACTGGCGTTTTGGTAGACATTCCGTGGGTCAAAAGCAGAACAAGACGCGCGGTGACCACGTACCTGGTGATTGCGATAATCAACAGCATCACCTGGATCTGGGCGGTGATCATCCAGAATGAGTATCGCAAGACAAATCCTGTACTGGATTGGAGCGACCAGAGCCAGTTTGGGAGGGGATTTGGGGTATACTTGCTGGAGAGAGTCAGTGCAGGAATGGTTGAGAACTACATATACTGGTGTATCAGCAACCTCTCCGACTCCCCTGGCGATCAAATAAGATATAGCTCGCTTTTGCGTGGGATTGAGACGGCGGCTGTTGCGATTGGGTTTGGTGTCCAAGCAGTCCCGACCGCTCTCATTATCACTGCGGGCATCAACTTCAGTTTTTGGTTTGTGGCACTACCTTTTAGCTATTTTGCTACTAGGAAGGTGGTAAGGAAATTCAAAAAGCTGTCAGCGAGCCAGTAAATTTACAGTGCTGCGTTGTGAGTGGTCTCGCTTACACAACGAGGACTTCATGTACGGAGATAGAATAAAGCCTATCGTTGTGATCATAGGATATTAGACATAAGCAACTACCTAACCGTTCATTCCCGCATTATGCCGTTCTGGTATATAATTCGATATGATCTGTGTTGCCCTATATTAGTGAAATGAACAAAAGAATCGGAATTGCAGAGAAGCTCACCAAGATCGGAAAAATCCATGAGGTCTTCAGGAACATGCCACCAATAACCGCGTCTCGCTGGTGCGTCCTCAGTAGCAACTTTCTGATCCACTGGTATTTCTCTCCAGCACACTAATCCACCGATATCCGCCCATTTCATTTGTGTTTTCTCTTGTCCCTGACACTCCAGTAAATGAAGATCAAACTTGGAGAAATTGCGCCAAGAATTAGCTGAGACGGTGACCACCGTTGTAGGAAGCACCGCGCGCTTCAAGAGACGGTCAACACAATACGGAACTATGAAATATGCACCATGTGCACTGCTAGGATTCATGATATGTAGCCGAAGAAGTGAAGGAAATGCAATGGACGGTGAAGTGCGAGTGGCATCTCGACAAACTCTCGTAAAAGAATCCATATCAGCGTCGTGCGAGTTCATGGTCATTTCAAGAGATGTAATCAAGTTCAGTTTTTCTGGTGGTAGGATGTCTTGAATACCTCCTGATAGTATTTCAGAGTCTATATGAATCGTGTTGGTGTGATAAAGAACCTCAATACCCTCAGCATATCTTTCATGAAAATGTCAGTACCTTCCTATATTCACGTTGGGGCTGGATCAACACCTACGCTTGGCGACAAGAGAGCAGCCAACCTGAAGCTCCGACCTTACATTCATAGGAGCTGGGGCAAGGCTGAGAGAGCGATTTATCGAGAATGCCAGGGCAGTCGAGCGGGTTCCTTTTCTCAGCGATGCGAATTCTATGTTGTGGCTTAAGGAAGTCGTCCTCATACCGCAGTTTGTGAGGTAGACCTGGCTTGCTGCTGTGGCAAACGCAACTGGACCACTTCAGTTCACCAATCCCTGACTGTCGGTGCTCAAAATCAAGATCAAGATGGATTATTCGCCCTCCAAATGCGTGAATGAGAATCTGACGTCTGATTTCGGCTGGTATATGAGTGAAAAGTGGCCCGGTGCCGCTACCAGATGTCGTTTCTGTGGCTACTGCTAGCTGTTGTCGCATTTGCTTGATTTTGTAGTCTCTTTGCCTCGCATCCATATTGCGTCTGAAGGTGCGATAATATGGAACTGGGTTGAGAGGATGGAGAACATAGTAATAGACGCATGCTATAATGTTGAAGATATGCCGTGGTAGATGACGTTCCAGGACGCCCATAATATATCCTGCCATTTCGTTCCGTTGCGAATTTGTCTCATATTTTTATCGGTTCAAGAAGAAAGTAGAAGCTGTCGGTCTCGCGCTACGATCATCAAGTATTGCCGACAGGACAGGCTGGCCTCATGTTTACTTGTTTACATGTTTATGAGTGCCTTAGCTTGGAACTACACCACGCACGATTTCTGAACAACACTGCAGCCTGGCGTGTCGCACTAACGCAGTCTAAGGCTCTAAATGAGAGTAACACTCTACCTAGGCATCGAATGAGTTGAGTACTGCCAGCGCTGGTGCAAGTGTGGCTCGTCAACCTAAGCCAAGCGTCAATGTTAGCTGTCCCGTGCCGTCTAAACTGTAAGTCCTCAATAGCCATCATCATCCATATGCCATAAAAACACAATGGCGTTAGCTATCCAACCGGGTAACATAAGACATTGCACACGCAAATCATACGCGTTTTAAATGCTCAGTCCAACAGCTCAATTCTATCAAAATAGTAGATTAAAATATACAATAATTCTTAAAGGTCCAAATATTAAACTATTGTTTTTGATGAGGGTATATTGTATGTTTATTACTAGGTTATTAGGCTATCAAAGCGAAGGGAATGGGAGATCAAGTACCATTTGGTGTGCAATGTCTTCTGTCACCTACTTGCTATCGTAGACCATTGTTTCATCTTTTCGGCTGCTTATTGGTCATAACACGTCAAACTTGGTGGATATGAACCCTTCCTCACCGTCATCCTTCTGAGGGCGGCGTGGCGCAGCATCTCATCGCAATTTCGAGTGCGCCAACATCTAGAAGCATCCACCAATTTAGCGACTGCCTGTCCCTGTAGCAAAACCAAACCGCCGTCCTGCCTGAGGCCACAGTCTCGAATTGAGACGAAGCGCCTTTCCCCTCATTTAACTCTACACATACCGAGATGTATTAACATAAGAATATTACAAGCAAACAAGACGTCAATAGCAACGAAATTTTGCAAGAATTGACAAAAGCCGTCTTGTATCAGGGTTTCCCTCCATAATTCCTCACCCACCTTGCATTTACTGTGCCATCTCAGCTTTACAAGAATGCCTCCAGGCAGATTGCCCCCTCAACTTGCGACAGAACTCTCCAAAATCGCCAAATTATCCAATGTCCAATCTGCCCTTCCATCCATACTGCGTCCCGCTCCAACTATTGCCATCATGGCAGGGGGAGCTATTGCTAGGGGAACTGGGGGCAACAACCTCATTGCGGAATGGATCCAGGGCAAGGACGAAGCACTTTGCCTTGGTGCACCAATTGAACAATCACGGATCTTGGCCCAGGGCAACGCGACACTAATAATGCAAGGACATGTGGCGTGCCATTCGGGAAGAAGCTTAAAGACGCCTATCATATATACCGAGGACCAGTTCGCGCATCCGATATGGAATCGACCCATGTGGACGAATATCCCAATTGCAGCCTCACCATTACGGCGAATGCTGACTGATGAAAATGTTCTACGACCCGGGGCGTCTTGGATTCGTGTCAAGAGGGGCTCGGTGTAGAAATAATCACTCGGCCTCGCTCTTCTCGTGTGGAAATCCGGACGTATTCGGGTAGCCTTTTGTATTTGTAGATTAACAAGCGACTCTCCTCTATACCCAAATTGATTTGAAGTATATACCCGATGCTCTAATCCTTAATAAAATATATGACAACTCTCGGGATTTAGTTCTGGCATCACTTTCTTTTCCCACGCCCGTACCCTATAATGTTGGCATACCGGATTTATTACCTATGTCGCTTGCTGGCACAGTTGGCTGGTCTGCGACTCAGGGGAAGTTTCTTAACCTCTGAGTCGTGAGTGGAAATACTACCGAGAAAGGGAAAACAGTTGAAGGGCGTTAAATCCTCCTGCCCATGAAGCTGTTCGAGTGAAGTACGTCTAGCCGAAGGTCAATATAGTGTATTTCTAGGATTTCTGGGATATCGGAGATCCCAGGGCCAGTTGTCCTGGTAATTGATGCGAGAACAGGCCAGTAGAAGATCCCTGAGGGTAAAGCACGCCTGTCGGCTCGGTTGGCAATAACACTCAGGTAACATTTCAGTTCATAAGCTCGCCCATGAATCAACCGTCATCTCTATAGGCGAGCCATTTTTAATGCTGCAGCAAATGCCTATCATTAGATATCTGACATGCTGATCTGAGCATCAACTCAGCGGCAGCTGTGCAACTCGAGAAGTTTTAAGCACAACACAGTCTCAATATTGGTAAATATCTGAACCATTCTAGACCGAATAGCCAAGTGGAAGCATAGATTGTTGCATGTCTTCGGTTCTATTAAGCTATTTGAAGCTTAACCCCGCCCCTTCCCTGGAAAGGGAAAGGCGAGAATCCATGCGTCTTAAAATTCCACAGTAATGGAAATGAAGTCGGCTGCCATTGCAGGGCCTATGCTATGTCCCATGCATTGGATCTGTTAATAAGGAGAATATATGAATTACGCGGCCCTGCGGAGCGAATGTTCCACTTCTTTAATGTCCAGTTATCCCCATTGGCGGGAAAGCAGCTCAGTTATAACCCTGCTTCCTGTTTTGGCCCGGACTGTCAATTACCGGATGGGACGCTGAAGTGGCATACAAGCCGGCAGTACCATCCATCATTCTTCATTGGGATCCAGACCTTGATTTTGAAAGCCTACATGACCAGTCAACTGCTTTGATATGTTCGGAGGCAATACCAAATGGAATATCAACTCTGATATTCCCTCGTCTGACTATGGTTAAATATGATGTGCCGGTTAGCCGATCCATCGATGTTGATGATTCTCCTCGGCTCGTCTTTAGAGTCACGCAATTAATTTCGGCGGTTGATGTCCCGAGTGGGTTTTGAGCAGATCCCCCGCTGCAAGTAGGAGAGACCATACCGTATGGATGACTACTTAAATGCTCGTTAGTAACTGTTTAATTTGTTGCCAGAAGCCAAGGCCTTGCAACTATTGTTCAACTCGTTAACGATGAAGATTCTTAGCTTGGCCATTGGCCTTCTTTCGGGGTTGGCAGCCACAGTTGAAGCCATCACTGTGACAAGCTCGACCGCCTCGTATGTTGTCGACACAGCGAGCTCGTACAATTTCATTGTCACAATCAGCCGCTCCACCTGTGATATAACCTCCATCAAGTTCTACGGTTCAGAGTATCAGAACCAGGGAACTTACAGCCATATCGCTTCTGGACTTGGTAGTGGAACTAGTGTAAGTAAATTCGATCGATCTAGGAGCAGAGTTTCAAGTCGCTAACTTTGAATCAAGGTTTCCTATACAACAAGCCCCTCTGGAGACACTGTTATCTTTAAGTGCACACAGAGCAGTTCTAGCTTCGACCTTGACCACTATCTTGTGTTCCGAGATGGGTCGGCTAATATCTGGATGGGAACCAACATTCGGTCAGAACCTACTGTTGGCGAGCTCCGATACATCTTCAGATTGAATGACTTGAACGTGCCCTACCCACACGGAGATGTGTCCGTAACAAGTGGCGGCACTGCGATCGAGGGCAGTGACGTCTATCTTGTTAGCGGCCAGACACGGAGCAAATTCTACTCATCTGACCGCTTCATTGATGAGAACATCTACTGTGCTACCAACTCTGGAGGGACTGTTAACGCTTGTTGGCTCCGCCCGAACCACCAAGCGACAGAGAAGAGCTCTGGGGGTCCTTTCTTCCGTGATATCAGCTCTAATCCCTCTGGATCTTACAACGCATTGACTTACTACATGAATTCGGGCCATGTTCAAACCGAATCCTACCGAACAGGTTTCCATGGACCATATGTATTTTCTATGACTCGAAGTGGCAGACCTACGCCTTCCTCAGTCGATGTGACATTTTTCGACAGCCTGGGATTAAACGGATATGTTCCAGTCTCTGGAAAGCGCGGCTACGTTAGTGGCTCAGTCTCAGGAGTTTCAACTAGCTTTCCCCGGGTCGTTCACTGGCACAACTCCAATTATCAGTTCTGGGCTACTGCGAGCTCATCAGGAACCTTCACCTCGCCACCAATGCCCGCAGGAAGCTATACCATGAAGCTTTACCAGGATGAATTCCTTGCTGCAACGCAAACTGTCACGGTCTCTGCAGGAAGCACCGCAACAGCAAACATTGCGGCCACCCACAGCGCGATAACAGCATCGAGAACCACCATCTTCAAATTGGGAGATTACGATGGCCAGCCTACTGGCTTCCGCAATGCCGACAACCAGTTGCGCATGCATCCATCTGACTCCAGGTACGTATTTGATCAAATTTATGGTAAATGATCTAACACTTTTGTCATATAGGATGTCGAGTTGGTCCCCTGGCACCGTCTCTTCTGGGTCGCCATCGAATTGGCCGATGGCTATGTTCAAGGATGTAAACAACGGACAGTCGATCTCTTTCTCCCTCTCCAGTGCCATTTCGCAGGCAACCACCCTGCGCATTGCTATTACCTTGTCCTTTGGAGGAGGTAGACCTCAAGCAAGTGTCAATGGGTATACATGCTCAGCCCCAGCTGCTCCCACCAAGATCGATAGCCGTGGTGTTACCAGAGGTGCTTACCGCGGTTATGGAGAGATCTATGAGTGCACTGTTCCATCTGGAACCCTCGTCAGCGGCTCTAATACCGTGACCATCAATGTGATTTCCGGTACAGCTGGTGATGCCTACCTCAGCCCCAACGTGGTGAGTTGACTTTCTGAAATAATATTTGGAAATATGCGTGCTAATGATGGTACAGATCTTTGATGCTATTGAGTTGTTTTACTAGCGAAAGAAGTAGTTGGGTAGTTTGAGAATTCAATATGGTGGTTTACGCGCGTATGTTCAATCAAGCTGTGCATGCTCAGAATGATGATATTTGCAACTGAATCCCTGCGTTATATCACCAACTGATGCTGAAATCAATAGTAGATGGGTTTCTAAAGACTGCAGAACTAATTTTTCTGAGGGTGAAGATGAACTATCTCACATAAAACTCCTTGCCGAGTCTTGTAAGGTCGTATCTATCGCTCGCATTGATTGGTCCTCTACCTAAACACAACGACCCCGTTCCTGATACTTATCATGCTTTTGTACCTAGTTATGCATTATTGGTGAATCAACATGACATCTGATAGTTGTAAGGTTACGCCACGCGGGAAGGAATAGTCTATTACCAGAACTATGGTCGTAGCATCAGTTTGTTTGGAAGTTAGCGAGGACTATTGTGATTGGATTGTATGGTTGTCTCTTCTGGTTCTTCTTATCGGATTTGTCTAATCCCGGAGAGAGCCACTTACGGTGAGCCCGCATCATGTTAAACCGACCTGCCCGAAAGTTATTGCGACCCACCTGTATTGCAACAAGAGCCTTCGTTGAGCACGTTATACCGTCTCACTGGGAAGGTCCCAAGAAAACGGATACGACGAACTAACTTGTTTACAAGGAACTATCGAATGCAAAGTAACCACACGCTTCCGGGGCTCTGGGTCTTGTGTGATGATTGAGCACATTATCTTACCCAGGGAACTTATTAGCATATGAACTAAGCCAAGGGTTATAAATTACCTCCATACCGGCCCATGAGCACAATAGTGGCGCTTTCGTACCCAATGTCTTAGATAATACCTTGAGGAATACTGAGGCTTGGAGACAATTCCAGCCTATTTCTTGAACTATTAGGATGTGGAAGAGGTTCTTTACGGTCACCTTAGCAGGTTGGCTACCTTATGCTCTGGCCGGCCGAAACACTACCGCCTCAAGGGAAACCGTCACAGGAACGTACTTGGTTGAGTTGTCAGATGATTCGGTCAGCTAAATCTCATGCCCAACTTTGAAGCTCGTGCCACTAATTTTGACAGAACTCCGGGTCTTTCTACCAGGGCCTCTCTGAAGAGGTGGGCGAGGTATCTCAACGCCTAACTATCGACTCTGCTTTATTTAGAGGTGTTTCTTTCAGCTTGAAAAATACCTCAGATGACGGGGCTAGAGTGATTGAGCGCATGTCTCAAGTCAAGAGTATTTGGCCTGTATCACTCATTCCAGCTCCAGACCCGGAGATCCGCTGGACTGGACAAGGTGTAGATGTCAGCAAGATATCCAACCTAGATGCTGAAAGTGTCTACGCTCCTCATCGCATGACCCAGGTAGACAAACTCCATGAAAAAGGGTTCAAAGGTAATGGCACGCGGATTGCCATTGTTGATACGGGCGTGGATTACAATCACCCGGCGCTTGGAGGATGTTTCGGTCCCGGATGCCTCGTTAGCTTTGGTACGGATCTAGTTGGCGACGACTACAACGGATCCAACATGCCCGTTCCGGATGATGATCCATTTGATACGTGTATTGGACACGGGACTCATGTTGCGGGTATCATCGCGGCACAGACGAACCCCCTTGGATTCATTGGTGCCGCGCCAGAGGTTGAGCTCGGGATGTACCGCGTATTTGGGTGTGCTGATAGTGTTGGAACGGATGTTCTTATTGCAGCATTCATCCAAGCATACAAAGACGGTGCCGACATAATCACTGCCTCTATAGGGGGCTTGAACGGGTTTGAAGAGGAGCCATGGAGTGTTGTCGCAAGTCGCATTGCGCTAGAAGGCCGAGTTCCGGTCACTATTGCAGCAGGTAATAAGGGCCAAGAAGGCCTATTCTACGCCAGTTCGGCAGCAGGTGGTAATGGTGTGATGGGAATAGCTTCATTTGACAATGATGAGTATGTCTCTTATGAGAATGGTCAGCTGGTCACCACACCTGATCCCAACGGAGGGTTTCCTTCCTACTTCTCCTCCTGGGGTCCTTTATTTGAACTCCAAGTCAAGCCCCAGTTTGGTGCACCTGGAGGGGGGATTTTATCCACCTATCCTACTGCTATGGGTAGTTATGCAGTTCTGTCGGGCACATCCATGGCAACCCCTTTGGCTGCGTCTATTGTTGCGCTCGTCGGTCAAGTTAAGGGCAAGTTCGACCGACAACTTATCGAGAACGCGCTTGCAGCCACTGCTGTACCCAATTTACTTAGCTATAACGGGGTATACCCGTATCTTGCCCCCATTCCGCAGCAGGGGGCTGGTCTCGTCAAGGCGTACGATGCCGCGTTCGCGAAGACACTCGTGGATACGCCGAACATCAGCTTCAACGACACTGAATTCTTCAAGTCGGAGGTCAACATTGGCATCACTAATACGGGAAGCGAACAAATCTCTTACAAGCTCGGACATTCGGCGTCTGTAACCGCTTTTACCCTTTACGAGAACTCAGTCTGGCCGGAGAGCCTTCTGATGGAGATCACCGACAAACCCGCCTCTCTGCGATTTGAACCAGAGACACTCACGCTCGAGCCTGGCTCTTCTGCCACTGTCAAAATATTCGCGACACCTCCTGAGGGTCTACTTGCTCAGAGGATACCGGTCTATTCCGGGTTTGTCACTTTGAACGCCACCAATGGCGAGAACCTGTCAATTCCCTATCAAGGGGTAGCTGGGAATATGCGCGATACAGTCGTTTTGGAACAAGAAAGGAGCTACCTCACCGAGACCGAGGATCCTCTCATGAACGAGGTAGCCAATGGAACAATCTTTGTTTTGTCAGCGCCCGAGGGGGTGGAAGCTAAGAACTCAAGCTTTTATGAGAACAAGTGCCAAGTACGTCCTTTCGGGGTTCTTCCTCAAATGTTTTACTTGTTGCCCATGGGGTCTCCAGAGATTCGTATTGAAGTCGTTCCTTTGGCCTGCAATGAATGCAACGCGACAGAACACCTAGGGACAGCGACCGTGGGCAATATTGCAGGATTCCCACAGGTTTATGTCCCCCCATGGGGTTACCTTGCCCCGTGGAACGGCTTGCTGAATGATGAGACGTATGCCCCGGCAGGGACTTATAAGTTTCTTGTTAGGGCATTGAAGATTTTTGGTGATAGGACGAAGGCAAGTGACTATCTAGACGCTGAAACACCGGCGTTCAGAATTGTTTATGCTCGGGATGAGTAGTGCTCTAGATGCTGTTGTATGGGTTTATTTGAAAAGGGGCTACATTTATGAAATGCTCTTTTAGATACTCTATCCGTAAATATACTAGTATTCACGATGATGGTCGTGCAAATGTGGACTATAGTTTTATATCCGTATCAGCGAATCTTTCCAGGTAAGAAAGACGATTCCAGCAAAGGAACGTTTTCTGGCATCAAGATATAGAGTGCTGTTAAAGACTACTACTACCCTAGTGCGGCAAGAAGTGCCCTGTGACCACCGTTGGCACTGACTTGCAATCGCACGCCCAATACTCCGAGAACCACCGGTCACTATGGCAGTTTTCCTAGCCAGGGACTGTAGTTTGTTAGGCGTGGATGGACCGGAAAACTCAGACATTGCAAAGACGCTGTTAGAAGTAAATATTTAGAGTGCAAAATAACATATAATATTACTTTCCTAGATCAAACTTTATACAAGAGTTTATGAGTCCCGGGGCGTTGTTTGACTTAATAAATTAAAACTGTCTTCGCGGTACAGATTCTGGATCAAGACATCGAATGTCAACGTGGCGTGCGGACTTTACGTCCCAACTTGTGGACTTTCGGCCACACTAGCGGAGTCTCTACCTTTCTCAACTCTAGACATCATGCTTGGAGGAAGCATTGGTAGCTCAGGAGGCAGAGAATTAAATCTCTCATTCCTCTTAGGCCAACTAGCTTAGTTTTACAAGTTAGGTCCAACTCACCAGTTGACTAACTGAACTTCTTGCCCTGGTCCGCCCTTAGGAGGATAATTGAACTGAGAGCATATACACTCTGGGCTCGATTTATCACCGGCTAGGCGGGGTTTAATTGAATTCTCCCAGGCTGTATTTTGAGAATTATGTTCTCACCACTCTTATTTGAGCAAAGCACCTCCTTCAACAAAAGTAATGGTCCCAGTCTGAAAGTGGTTCTTCGTGATGGCCAAATAAGTCTCCGCAACATCTCTTGGATCTCCAACCGTGCCCAGCAGCGAGTTGTTCTTTGACGCTTCTATTGCCTCTTCTCCCCAATTGCCTGCGGCTCTCTCAAAGAGTTCTGTCCTGATTGCGCCCAGTGAGACCAGGTTCACCCTGACTGGAGCGATACCGACGGCAAGGCCTCTTGCTAATGCGTCTTTTGCTCCACCTACACTAGCCCAGAAATTCCAGCCAGGTGGCGGCTTATGTGTGCCCGCGCCACCAGTCATAGTGAAAGACGACGTGTTAGCCCCCTTGAGATATTTTGCAGCCACCTTAGCAAGCATCGTGTCCCCAATAAAATGATACTTTGAGAAAGCAACCATGTCTTCAGCGGTTGCATCGCTCAGAGACGTAATGTTTGGTAGGGAGCTAGCCGTGGTGACAACATGATAGACTGGTCTGGATCCGTTGTTGGTGATAAATTCGAAGAGCTTGGTGATATCGACTTCCGCTGTCGAGCTAGATATATCGCACACAAAACCCCTGACCCGAGAATTGCTTTCAGGGTAGGATAAATGCAGCCTTTGCAATGTCTTATTTACGTTGTCCTGTGTTCGACTGACAACTACAACGTTGGCACCAAACTCGACGCTAGCTTCTGCAACGGCGTAACCGACGCCGGAAGTACCGCCGACAATAACAACTGACTTGCCAGTGAGCTTATTCCGGAAAGTCCCCGCCATGGTTATAATACAATGTATGAAAGATGCGATCGATGTTTGAGCTTAAAAATTAACTCGCTTGGTAAGAAAGGAGCATTTATACGAGCCAGGGCGCCTCTGAACATAGTTTGGTGGGGTTGAGTTAACTGGTAAAAGTCCGCAAGCTCTACTGATGTGATCCGGCACCGAAACGCAGGTGACCAAGCAGACCTGGGCATGATTCATGTCTACCTTAGCTGAATCCAGAGATGTATTATAAATTTCTATAGCCTAGAAGTTAGGTACTAACTGTAATTTTGATAATATCCTCTAAGTATAGTTTAGGCTATAGATCCTAGGGGTATAACTGTATCTAAATACAATATATAGATCGTATAGTTAAATAATTATATAGTCAAAAATGAGCAAAAGATAGAACTTAGGCTAGCTACTCCGTATCCATCTAATTTCCCTTGAGAGTCAGTCTAGAAATTACTAAAATAGATGTCTCAACTATACCTTACTAGACAGGACAATTCTCGATACTTGTTGGTTGTGACTGGCCTTAGTAATAGTGGCCCCGAGACCTCCTGTCCCACCTGCAACAGCTACTGTGAGCATTGCGAATTCTGGAAGCACTCTAGACTTGAGGTTGATTTAATGGTAGAGTATCTGTCGGGTTGTGCTTGAATGTAGGAAATTATAGATACCCAATGTGTAACTTTCCCGGAGACAGAGAGCTATCGGAACGGGCCCCTTCGGCTGAACGGGCGGCGGACTTGCTCCTGAGCGTGATTTCGGATCTCCGCCAATGCCCACAACGGGACCAATTGTTTCCTTGTTGCCTTGGAGGTTAAAAGCAGAGTTCCATCTTAAACTCCGCGTTGCTGACAAACCGATTACGTTGGGGTCAGAATATCTAACATAGGTAATCAAAGCAAGTGGCCGTATATTGATTCAAGTCTGAGCTGAACTGAACACAGGACTCAGGTTATGCTACAGGTGCCGGTTGCGAGCCATATGGGATCATTCTCACCATATGTCTCCTCTCGTTGTCTTCGAAATCAGGCACAGCGGAATGCCCGGCAGATCTCTGGTCCCAAATCACAACAGTTCCAGGCTCCCACCGTACACGGCAGCTAAAGTCCAGGCTACGTATGTGGTTATGTAGAAAGGACAGCAGGTTCTGAGACTCCTCGGGTAGGAACCCTTCAACTTGGCGAGCAATTGTTGGATTAACGAATAGTGCCGGCTTACCCGTCACTGGATGCTTTATAACAAGGGGGTGAGTAGCGTTGATCGCTTCAGCCAGAGCTCGCTCCGCGCCGACTCGTCTCACCTCGCCTTCAGATGCCGACGTGTGAAGGAGCTTGAGAGAGTGGAGGGTTTCTCTAAATGCGGGAGAGAGAGCCTCATATGCAGCAGTGAGTGACGTGAAGGCCGTATCGCCTCCTCCTGCCTTGGGACTTTCAAGAACCCAGAAGAAGGTGGTCGATGGGACATTGGGAGTGAACGTCTGATCGATGTGCCATAGGTCGTAGGTGGTTCGAGCACCCAACAGGGTTCTCAAGTTTCCGCTGTAGCAGAAGTCAGTCCTATCCCAGAATTACACAATGCTCCGGGGGCGGGCTCTTACGCTTTCTCATCTGCATAGACCACGTGGAATTCAGGGCCTGTTCCCTCGGGGTACCCCATGGTAGGATGGAGATGGAGCGGTCCGTAATGCTTGACGATCTCCCGCTGGCGATCGAACCCAACATCTGCGAAATCTTGATCTCTCTGCCCGGTATTATGTTAGTTTCAATACTGGAGGTAAAGGTATGCCATTCACTCACAAACACTATAACGCCTCTCTCGGCGGCCAGAAGAGCTATTTCGTCCAGCCCTTCCTTTCCCAACTGACTGATCTGGACGCCCCTGATTTCGGTACCTATTCTCGGGGTGATGCGAGAAACACTCGCACCCTTGGCCAGGAGCGACGCCTTGGCGGGGTCTGCTCGTAATCCTGGCTCATCCCCAGCAAACGGAGGCAGAGCGATTGGGGTGGCATACCCATCTGGCCGGGTAGGCAAGTAGTTGGGATACAATGGTTCGGATGACATGATTTCTCACTTATTTTGCGATGAAGTCAAGGATGGTTCTATCCATGTTCAGGTGGCTTTCTCATGCTACCGGCGTCCGCTTTATCTTGCAAGTTGCCCTACGGGAATAAGTTCAAATCATAGCCGAAGCCGGCTCACACGACTTGGTCTGCATAGCTATCGGGCTTGGCCCGACTCCACCAAAGCGGAAATTCTGGTATAATTCGGCGAAGGGGCGACGTTGCAGTCTTCCGCAATCGCTTCTGCTGATGGCGTAATAAGCCAACAACCAATCAATCATAGATCTCGTGTTTTTCGGCGTACTTAGTCTGGTTGGATAATGAACCGGTTCAATGTCAGCCAGCGCTATCATTGGTAGTTGCCCATCACGGTGCATCCCAACCATCACGGTGCGCCCTAATTCACATTGCTAAGCACGCGAGCCATATGAGGTTTTCTAGTGGAGAATAGTATGCACGGCAGTTGAAGCATATCTTTAATATTGTGGCAGAAGTGGGCCAACGGAGATCCATGTGGCTGGATCATGGATGAAGCTTGTATCGATAGTGTTTTGCGTCATCTCTAGTCTCAGTATCGTGATAGCCACCCCAGTCGTCCGGCTAAGAAAACGGCAGGGTTAGCAATGTCTCCAGGCTTGCTAGCTGGCACTGAGTGAAATTTGTTCGGCTTGGGACCGATTTGCACTCATGGTAGATCATATAAAGATCCGCTACAACCTCGTCAGCTTTCCCTACTTCTTTTGCTGTAAGTTCTCGGGCAAGCAGCTATCAGAACCTTCGAAATTCAACACCGATAGTCTCCTCTGCCTTCTTTTTCTCCATTGAGGCAAGCTTGGAGATGGTGGCAACCGATAGCCTCAAGCAGGACGCAGAGTCCGAGGAGCATCGATATGTTCCTCCACAAGAATCAACGTCCTGGCTCGCAAGAGTACATCCGTATTTCAAGGATCCAGCCCATGTGTTGGTCTTCAAACTCGACGTCTTGCTTCTAGTATGGGCATTCATCGCTGGCCTGTTCAAGGACATGGACCAGTCGGCGACGACGGCAGCCTACGTATCTGGGATGAAGGAGGATCTTTCTTTGTACGGCAACGAATTGGTCGAGTTCACAACCTATTTCTCGATCGGATACGCTCTCTTCATCGTACCTTCGCAGCTCATCCAGACAAAGGTTCGGCCATCAATCTTCTTACCTATTTGCGAGATTATTTGGGGCCTTTTCACCCTCTTTACATATGCGGCTCCCAATGCGAAGACCGTCTTCGCCCTGCGCTTCTTTCTCGGTGTCTTCGAATCTACATCATGGCCCGGTATCGTGAACTTGATATTCAATTGGTACACACCCAAGGAGCTTGGCAAGCGACTGGCCATTTTTGGTGTTAGCGGTGTGGCGGGAAACATGTTCCTGGGCATTGTACAGGCTGCGCTGTACAACAATCTCAACGGGTCACTGGGCATTGCTGGTTGGCAGTGGCTCTTCATCGTGTCCGGAGCCATGACTATCTTTTGGGGCATCGTTGGGCTGGCAGTCATCCCGGATTCGCCTGCTATTACAAGGGCTCTGTGGCTTACAGAAGAGGAGAGAGAGCTCTCAAAAACTCGAATGAATGACCATGGAACCAAGACGTCAGACATCATCCCTTTCAAGGTTTTGCTACAAAAGATCAAGCTCTTGCTGAAGAGTCCGATCTCATACCTCTTCCTTGCCGCCTATCTTCAATTTGCATGGAGTCAAAGAGCCAACTCCTACTTCCTTCTCTTCCTCAAGGGTTTGAAGAATGACGACGGAACAGCTCGTTACTCCGTCTATACCGTTAACCTGATCCCCTTGGGAGGATACGCGATCAGTATCGTCTGCAACATTGGATTGAACGCCATCAGTGACTGGAAAGGCTGGCGCTGGCAGGTGTCAGTCGGGGCGGCAACTCTCCAGCTCATCGCTACATCTGTCCTCTCTGGCTGGCCCGACTCGTGGAAAGTCATCATGGCTTTCTACTTCCTCACCTTTGCGACAGCCGCATGGGGATACGCGTTGATTGCATGGCTTGCTGAGATCCTGCGCAAAGAGCCCGAGGTTCGGTCGATTCTGGTTGCCCTTGCCGTCACTCTTGTGTATGCTGGGCATGCTTCAATCCCGTTGAGAGCCTGGCGAGTGGCTGATTCTCCGAAATACCCCATTGGATTCCCTCTTGCGGCAGCTTTTAGCGTTGGTAGCATTCTTTCGATTCTTGGGCTGCGGTTCTACATCAAGAGATATCCAGACATTTTGGACTGGGGTTTGGGGGGAAATAGTCGGGATCGTTCTGACACAGAGGAAGAGAACGCCTAAGGCGTGAGTGACCAGGGATAGATGTAATAGAAGTCAATGATTTAAAGCAAGGAGAAGGTATAATTCTTAAGTAATTGAATTATATCCGAGCGCGACGAGCTCAGTCCAGCCCAGTTTACTAGTTCGTTTCACCTCCTTGAATCTCTACCTGTCCACCATCTTCATCGTCAATATTTTGTACTGTTGTATCACCGTCCCTGAGAACCTTTCTCATTTTCTCGCTTCCATGTTTGGCATATTCCATCGCACTCCCAAAGTTTCCTTTCAGATGCGGATCAGCCCCATGTTGCAGTAGCCATCTCACTCGCTCAACTGCTCCTGCCATCACAGCGTGCACAATGGGATACCCTGGCACCATGGAGCGGGTTTCGACTCTTTGATTAACCTTGGCGCCTCGCTCAACGAGTAGGCTCATCACCGGTATCCTGCCCACATCAAATTCCTTGGTTGGCGTAACTCGGCCGGCGTGAGGGTTTCCTCCCGGCGGAGATACTCCCGCGGCAAAATGTAGTGGTGTGCCGTTCTCGATTTCAGCACCTGCTTCCAACAGCATCTTTACTGCCTCTGCTGTCCCTCGCGCGGCGGCTGCCTCGAGCGCGGCACATGAATTTGATTCAGGCTCACCAGTCCCGGTCAGATGATTGTACTGAGCACTGTGATTGGGGTTTACTCCATGGTCTAGAAGCCATCGAAGGACGCTGATATTTGTGACAACTCTGGGAAGCATGACGGCCCCCTGGTAGTGTGGAGAGTTGGGACTCCAGCTATGGTCTGCCAACAGATCAAGAAGAGGGGCCTGGCGATCAGTTGGCGCCGCGAGGACATTGTGAACAACCAGCCGAGCAATTGGCGCGCCTTTTTCTAAAAGGTAGCGAGCGGCCTCGACATTGCCACCATTCAGAGCCGCAACAAGGCCATGATGAAGGAATGCCGGTGTGGGAGTTTTCGAGCCAATCGCTGCCTGTATCGCGTCTATCGGCCCTCTCCGACAAGTTGACTGAAAGGAGGTTGGGGGAGTGAAGGAATACGGCCTCAAGCTAAGGTATTCAGCATCTTCAGGCTCCATTATAGGTATGTCATCATGAATGGAACGCATGATGTTGGAGTTCCCCTGCCGCTGTGCTGTTTGCTGTCGTTGAGCCGCCTCCATCCTCCGTCGTCTCATTGCCTCCATTGCCATCTGCATTCGACGTTGTTGTTCCGCTGCCATTGCTCGAATAATTTGTTACCCAGCTCGAAGGACAAGTCTTATACATTAGCCCTCGGGGTCGCCCTGCGAGGAAGTGATTCTTATAATTATCTTTTGAAGATTTGCCATGTAATGTGAAGGGAAGAGAAGAATGGGGTAAAAATAGATGCAGGCTGTGTAGTGGAGGCGAGTTTGTGTCTAACACAGGCGTCATATGGGGCCAAAATCGCTATTTTAGAATCTGAAGAGATTGAGGCGGAGGTTGGCAACATAATTAATGGGTCATTTGCCACTAAGCAGCCATCGGCCCATACCTGTTTCATGATGATGCCTGGTTGAAGTGCCTCGATATTATTTATTCCTCGTTCAGTCATTACTCTACGTCTAATTGAATGTAAGTGTCGGGACTATTTCCATCAAAAACGACAAATGATGAACACCTTTACAACGCCAGCCATATCTATACTAATTATACAAGGTGAATTTATCACACCATTTGACAACTCCCACCTCTCATGTACGATTTCATGCTACTCATTCATCCACCAGTTGGAAATACCTCCGTCTAGACCAAGGGTACCGGTTCCGTACCACCCGCAGGCCCCGTCCATCAAGTCGGCGTTGGCAAAGATGTTACCGCTTGGTGGTCCATCTTGATCGCATACACCTGTACTTCCACGTAACAGGCTTGACCCTTGGTTTGAGCTGGATGACTCGCTGCTAGTCCCGTCGTTCTTATATTCCAACTTGAGCACGTGGCGTGCGATGATCTGTATCTCCTTCACGTTGCGCGCGGTCCTGGGCCACAGTTCGGCTAACGCCTTGAGACATCCAATTTGAAGGCGGATTTGATCCCTTGCCACTTCGAGATCCCTTCCGTTCAGCAAATAATTACAGGCAGAGAGCAACGCAAGCGTGCCTTCGCTGACTGTGCAGGTTGTGAATGGTGAGTGGTGGAAGGGCCTAACTGGCAACGCCAATAGGCGTATCTGGGCCTCAACTGCGCGCAAAATCCGCACTGTGTGTACGTTCACAAGATCAGGCGTTGGCGTGTCTGGCGGGGGCTCTCGAGCACAGCTGGATATGTCCTCGACTGCGTTGAACTTGAGATCCGATAACGGTCTATGAAGACCAATAGTAGCACTAGAATAGGAAAAAACAAGAGATCAGCATTTGGTAACATGACATCAGCAAGCGCAGACTTACACATGAAGGATCAGGTGCGCCTGAAACATGATCTCATCAATCTCCCCAGTTTTTGTCATGACTACTTGCTTGGACTTGGGGAGAAGAAGAAGCCAGGCATCGGCGGTTGAGTCAAATTTCTGAATTAACTGTTCCGAGTCCTCTTTGGTGACGAATTTGGGCAAGCTAGTCATGGCCGATATGCCACATCGCACAGCACCAATAAGATAGGCGAAGGAGGAGAAAACGGTTTCCTCGAAGCTGAACTCTCGGGAGTCAAAGTCTTCGAGAGTTCGAGGCTCGGGGATATCCTATATAACGGCCGGTTAGTCAAGAGTTTCCAACAACAGTACCAAAAGCGGTGCTTGAAAAACGTACTCCTGATTCATATTCGTGGTCTTCGCAAGGCAAGTCGGCTGTGTGTTTGACATGTTGGAAGGCGAAAATCCTGGTACCCAACGTCCCTGCGTAAGAGCAATCGACAACATAAAGTAGCCACCAGGTCCTGCGCCACATCTCAGCCAGGACGGGGTCTCCGCTACCGTGATGCGGCGCAAACCCCTGTTGATACATTCCAAGCTCAAGGGCAAGGGCGGAAGCCATGTCCATTTGTTGCTTAGCCTCGGCATTGTAGCCGAACCAAAAGAGTGGGATGGAGTAGAGGAGCCGGCATAGGACCATGATAGGATCTTTGTCTAAGATTTGCGTGAATGAGGCTTCAAGGGAACTCCTTAGTGGGGTCGACCATTCTCGATAGCTGTATATATGTCCAATAAACCGCAAGACTTGGATCAGTGGATTCAGTTGATTTGCCCTGACCATATCCTGGCAAAGTCTAATCAGGTGCTTCCGGGGAGGAGCCACGGGGTGAAACTTGTGGAAGTTCTTGTAGTATGATTCCACCAAGGGGTCAAGAGTTCCGGGATTGGGGATGTTGTAGTCAATGGAGAGTGGCGGTGTGACTTCGCTGACCCATTCGATGCCAATATCAACATCCTCAGAGAGGTCAAGGCCGTTGTGATCCTGTTGAAGCCCCGTCGATCTCGGCGGGCTTGGAGGGTACCCAGTCTCAGCAGCAGTCAGCTTCCTGCGTCGCTCTGCCAGCGCAGCACGGTCGAGGCCGCCACGGCGAGATTCGGTATAGTCACATTCCTTGGAGGTCTCGACACACCTGGTGCATCGTGGGCGTTGGCCATCGCATTTGATGTGGCGGGACCGACAGGGGAGGCAGGCCAGCGACGAGCGGGTCAACCTACGCTTAGATGCTAGGCTATCGGCTGTCTCCATAGCAGCAGGTGCTCAGAGTACGGTTAAAGTCGCTAGGGTGGTGGATAGGGGTGATTGTGTCGTGATTGAGTCTTGAGCGGTTGCTTGGTTGGAGTCGAAGCAAGTCAAAGATGCTGCTCGTCAGCGGGAACTCGGGTAATCGGGTATCCGATCAGACCCACATTTTTCTGATAGCAGATAACGGCTGGACTCTGGCTGACCACATCTCTATATTCCAGATTGATATCATTATAATCTCATTAAGTCGTGTTCTTCCATTCATTTAGTTTATGCTACGTCTGATAGAAATTCATGCTACATCTGACATACTACTCATACCGCTCCCACTGTGCCTGCAGCATAAAGATCTGCCCCCAAGTGCCTCCGCTGTTCGCCGCGCTCATCCCGCTGCTCATCTCATTAAACTTCTGGCCAGCTGTTGCGCCATTCTCCGTGTCATGCCATCCGACGCTACTGTTGCCATGTAGATATCCGTCAGTCGTCCCAGCAATGCTCTGGACGGCCCCCGCGCCTTGGTACATTAGTCCGGCCATGCCAGCCGACATGGCGGTCATCATCTGCATCTCCTGCATCTGCCGCAGCATCTTAATCTGCGGTATCGTCTGTGTCCAGACCTGAATGCGCACCCGCGAGTATTCAACGAGTTCCGTAGAATCGCCCTTCTCAACCGCCATACTAAACTTCTCACGCATGCGCGGGGAGTACATCGAGCACATGCGTTCCTCCTCCACCAGTTGATCCTCCAGCTCGAACGGGAGACCTTTCCTCATGTCCTTGATAACCTCCTGGTAGCAGTCTTGGCAGATCAGACAGTCGCCCCAGCCGTACCATCTGCGACTCGCGACATGGTTGTTGCGTGGGCACTCGGGTATGTTGATATAGTTCCGGATCGTATCCTGTGCAATGGACCAAACACCCTCCTGCGTCGCCTGGTACATGCTGAATAGGAATTGATATCGTCGGGGGCTGGCACTGTTGAAGCTGCACACGACTGTGTCAGAGGATCCGCTGAGGGGGCTCAGCTCGAACATGTGGCCGCATTCCAGGAACGCGTCGCAGAACCCAGCGAAGCAGGCAGCGCACATCACGTAGTTGCTCGGGCCACCTTTGGGGGTGTACCAGGTCCCATTGGTGATGCCTTGGGACACGCATTTGGGGCTCGACATGACTGTGCGAGCACATCTGCTAAAGACAGCGGCGTCCTGGCGCAGGAGGGCTCCAGCAAGAACATTTTCAATCTGAGATACACGAGCATCGCTATCGGCATAGTGGTTAGCAGGCTGAAGCATGCGCCAACAGGCGTCTCTCACGAGTAGAATGGGTAATCTTACCATGTCCATGATGTTGCTGGGGTTTCCCGGATTCCGAAAATATAATCCATGCGCTCTGAACCCCTGGCGGGCTTCTCTATTGGTATATATTCGAAAGCGTCCTCCAGAGCCGTCCAGCACAGCTCATTAAAGTAACATTTCTCGCAAATGACCATTGTCTCTACTGGGTCCTTTGGCCGAACCCATTCTCGACTTGATGCCTCAACGCCCTGGTCAGCTTCGCACTCCGGGAGCTGGAACAGTTTCGTTGCTTTAGTGACCCAGTCCATGAACGGGGCGTTGTTTCTCGAATAGATATCAAAGGACCTCCTCGAATAACCAAACGCGTTGAGGTCGCAATACCATGTCAAACTCGCTGCCTGCGGTTCGGGGTACTTCTGCTGCCTAGGAATGAATTCCCCAGCATAGTTGCTTGCCAGAACGCGATCTTCGTAACATGCCTGGCAGGCGATAAAGTTCTTCATGACGTCGTTTGTTTCTCTCTCGATCACCCAGACCTTAATTCCATCATTTCCATTGAACCCTTTCTTCAGAGCGCAATCCTTGATACTGATCCGCTTTGCCAAGTACTCTGCCAGGGGCTCAACGTTTCCCATCTGTACACATTGCGGGACGAGTACTGAGGTTATGCGGGAGACGTCGAAGCGGCATCTCGCACCGTGCGTCTTTTTCTTCGAAAAACTAGATGCCAAGTTGGTGTTCTTCAGATGTGTTGCATAGCATCGGGTGCATATTAAGAAATCAGGCGCGCTGGGTAAATAAAACCAGGTCGCAACGTAGCCATTGTCGTGTGCATTGCCTGGACAGAACCACACTGCCTCGTTTGGTTCTCCATACTCGGACAGTTGAAGGGGCTGCCGGCGTGGGATATCCTCAATCCATGTGCTGTCTTTCGTATGAGATGTGCTGTGGAAATCTCTAAAGGGCTCGACAGCATTTCCCCTAACGACCGACAACTTGCCCATGCCATCGATGACATAACTTATGTCATCAGAGCTAGAGATTCCAGTTTGTGTCTCTGCCAGAGGCCCAGGGGGTGGAACTTGAGTAGGAGGCTGGAATTCGTAGATAGAAGCCTGCCCTACTCCAGGCGGTGGTGGCATCGCAGGGGCGTTGAAGTCCTGGATGGGCAGGGCTCCAGGCGGAGGACCAGGGGGTAAGCTCGGCAGCTCATAGTCTTGGGTTGTCTGCGAGACAACAGGCGGTGGAAGAACTGGAGCATTGAGATTTGGCATTGGGTTCTGCTCAATCACGGGCGGGGCAGGGCTAAAATGTTCAAACGGAGAGAGGCCAGGAACAGTCGCCGGAGCGTGAAAATCAAGAGGTTCCGGCCCCGCGGTAGCTGGGTATGCATGATGTTGTGCTGGCTCTGGAGCTTGTTGCGAGGTGATTAATGTCTGTTCTCCGATTGCGGGTGGGAAAGACTGGGTTGCCTGTAAGGGTTTCACTTCCTCCTCGCCCAAAGGCAAAATGGAAAAGGTAGCTGGGGTGGCAGCAGGAATGGAAGGACCCAATGTTTCAATAGTCTTCTGTGCTTGAGGTGGTGGCAATGAAGGGGGCTGTTCTCCAACAGTAGAGCCATTCTCCAGCGCTGTCGGTGGTGCTATTATTGAATCAGGGGCGGTCTTCTGCTCTTCTTGAAGAGCGGCATTTATTCTAGCATTTGGCTGAGGTTCAGCGGCTGCAGTGATCGGTTCTTGGAGTGCAGCTTCTATTCTCGAATTCGATTGAGGAGCAGAAGGTGGTGATTCAGGGCTGTCGGCTGGGCTAGGATCAAGGAGCGCGGCATGGATCCTAGTACTAGGCTTCGGGGCAACAACTGGCGTCTCCGAAGTAATGAGAATATTCCCATCCTGAAGTGCTGATTCTATCCTAGAGTTGGCCTGATGAGTGGCACCATCTGACGGAGCAGGAATATGCGGCGGCTGGATATCGACGCTAGTGTTCTCCAAGGGCTGTTGCTGTTGCTGTTGCTGTTGCTTCTCCTGATCTTGGGCGATCACATTTGTGGTAATATATGGGTTTTCACCTGTCTGTGGCCCTGATAAGGTAGCACCAGTGCCAGGATAACTGTAACCTGTCCCAGGTATAGTTTGCTGTTGCCCAGTTGAGGCTGCAGCAGTGCCGGGATATGTGTAGCCACTCTCGCTAACACTTGGCTGTGGCCCAGGTACGGCGGTAGCATTACTCGAAATCATGTAGCCACCATCCGGCGTGCTCTGCAGTCCTTGCGAAATAGGGACAGTCGCTCCTGTGTCTGGGTATTGTAATGTGGACAACCCATAGGAAATGTTGGCTACAGACGGTGAACTGGCAACATTAAAATTTGTATCCGTCAAGGGAGGTTGTCCAGGAGGAGCAGATCCTGTCTGAGGATATGTATATGTTGATGCGCCAGCATCTGCGACAGGGTATTGGCTTTGGAAAGTAGAGGCTGCCGGGAGGTTGTACTGATATTGGCTAGCAGGTGTTGCAGCATACGGCTGGCTTTGAACATCTACGGTGCTTGAGTAATATGCTCCTGTAGGGTTCTGCGCTGGAGTGGCCGGGTCCGATTGCAAAGGCTGAGAGGACCCACCATATACATATCCTCCTGGGGTTTGCGAGCCCGTCGGTTGAGTGATAGGTGACTGCACTGCACCCGGATATTGATACTGGTAAGTCTGTGCCGCTGGCTGCTGCAAAGGAGCTTGAAACTGAGCCTGAGGGGTTGAGGGTTGTACACCAGGGTTATACTGGTAGGTCTGCCCACCTGGGCTCGCGTAAGGACTCCCATCAGGTGCAGCTCCATAAGGTTGTTGGTATTTTCCTCCATAATTTTGAGCCTGGGCTCCATGGCTGTGCTCATTTTGGTACTGCTTCACTGTCTTTGCCAAAGCGCGAGCTTCGACTTGGGCTTTCGACTTAAGAGTGTTCATCATCCCACGTAGTGATGAGCTTGTACTCGTACGAGTGACTGGGGTCGGCTGCATTCCCATCTGCGGCGGCTGCTGTTGCTGTTGCTGTTGCGGCAGTGGGACAGGAACTCCGATGGGCTTCCGCCGGACTGGAGGCGCTCCCCATTTCCTGTTTGCTTCGTCGACTATAGCTGAAGAATATGACGGCGTGCGGCCCCTTCCAGCGACCCCTTGGATGTGAGCCTGGCCGTACCCCATCGGCACACTCGGCTGCCCTTGAAAGGAGCCAGGCGGAGGGCCAGACGGAGGCACGATGCCCTGTGGTGGTGCACCAGGTGGCGGTCCCATAGGCGGCGCATAGTCGGAAGTCTGTTGATATGGATCCATGAGAAAGGTTATTCGCGCGCCGCACGTCGATGTAGACCGACTGGCCACTACCCCGACCGGCTGCGCAGATTGATCTGCGGGGACTCCCTGCCAGATCTTTATATGCAAGTGTTAACGCCACTGGCTAGTATGCCGAGACGAAGAGCAGATCAGCATGGAGGGGATGCAATGTCGCCGTCCACCAGGAGCTGGGCAAGAGGCACGAATCTCGCTAGAGGATGGCACACAAGAGGTGATTAGCCCAACGGGAGCCAGATGAAGCGTAAAGGGAGCCTAACAATGCAAATGCTAATATTGACAGGGGTCTGTACCTCAGCCGCACGGGTCTAGACCTCTTCAGATGTGAGCTGTATGGAGAACTCGGGGAGAAAGGAGGGATGATCATTGGCCAACCCTCGATTCCTCAGCTCATGTCACTAATTTCGTCCTCCACAGCTTAAATCCTTTCAAGACACGTTTCCAGCAAGGCAGATCACGGCTCCATCGGATGGTGCATCATTTATCAGCAATTTTCACACATGGCGGTGTTACATGCTGTCTATACCTCGTATTCTACTTGCTACTTTGAAATGTGCTGATTTTAGGTTGCCCAAATCCATTGGTGGGCGCCAGCTCAGCAAGCAACATGCGCTTCCACCATTCGATTCTACCTACCCTATATGTCTCACCCTAGGGGTTTTAAACTGAATTATGAACATTATTCAGAAATACCTAGCTAAGGGAAACGGCCTATTTTAGGTTGACTACTTTGAATTCTCGTTGTCCCTTGGCTTCTAATTCTAGTCTTGGCCCTCGAAATAGACTGGGCTAATACAATACTTCTTGTCTGTGAGTTTTGTCATCGCTCTTGCTAACAATATACCTGAGTCCGCAAACTCTCAACAGAGTGAGGGTAAGCAGCCATTGGGAAAACATGAAAAGAGCGACTGAAACCAGACATGAAGGAGAAAAAATACTCCAAATGGGGCAATCTTCGTATTATTCCAATTAATGATGCCTATGGCGAGATAATTAGTACCCTTCCTTGATTCCCTTAAGCACGAAGTGAAAAGAGGAGAAAACTTGTTGTATCACTCACCTGCCAAATGCCCAGTGGCCTCATCGACGCGAATATTGTTCTCCTAGGACTGAATAAGGGGGAAAATGGAAAATTCTAAAGCCGTACCAAGAGATCATCATGTTGAAGAACCATGGGATGATTGGCTCAGAAGAGCTCTGGCGAACCTCTTTTGCTTTTTTCTTGTCGTTAAAGAGGCAAATATATACAGGCTTTATCCAGGATATTCAAGTATTTGCTAAGCAAACGGCGAGGCGGCTCCAATGTATGGACATATTTGTCGATCCATGTTGAAACTAAGAACCTATAGGCATATTTTCATTAAAAAAGTATAAAAGGTGAAGATATTGCCGAGGCCAAGCACCGAGACACCTTCACAGGCAATGCTGCGTCGGATATTGTTCAACAATTGCGTCTACCTTGGCCCCAGCTTGGCCCCTCCATTTACGACAATTGAAGCCCTATCTGGTCCCGAGAGGTAGCTCCGTTTGTTTGAGATGTCAGCTGTGACGCAAACAGCAAGATAGTCCCATCCCTATCCATTCTAGCTATAGCTTCTTTGGAAAACGCACAGTTACAGTATCTGAGCCTCCCGGGGCCTGAGCACTCGAGTTGTCGCCATTGATCATCTACCCACCCCCATGGCCCGAGAACAAGCGATGAGTACTTGCAGCTACTGTTGCCTAACTTATTAGCGTTGAATCGCCTCAGTGATACAGGAGTTTGGAAGAGGTCTAACGCAGTAGTTGACGAGAAATCTGCTGAGTTGTCTGCCAATTAATGTTGGAGTGGCTAATACCAGACAATATGCTCTTTAAAACGAAATGGAGAAATTAGGCGCGGAGAAATCTATGAAAATACAAGTAGAATACAACCCTTTTTACGACTATATACCTTGTAAGCTAGCCGTAGTAGAAAAATCCCGAATCATCTGAGCACTAAGTAGCTCGATGTATATTGGTCCCATGATTAGAATCCAGGATATGAGAAACAGATGGTCGTACATCCTTGACAGAATTCCCTTCAGCCATTGACCCTCGTCAATGGCAGGGAAGAGACAACGCCGAAATGACATAATATCAGACACGAAGTAATCCAGAGGCATTTTCTTCGTACTTCTTTTTCAGGCATGCTTGCGCAAGGGGCCCTGACAAGTCGAATCATTCGCCAGTGACATTATTGCTACCTCAGGGAGTAGCGAGCCGAGTACGCTGCTCAAGGCGAGGCAACATTGGTTCGTCCGTGGAAGTCAGTGGATTACGGACCCAATATGACGACAGGGTCTGCAAAGCACAGACGGATGCAGGGAACGGCGCGTTTTGCCGAGTTTTAGAATGAATGAAGCAACCTGCCTTTTCTGCCACCACATGGTGCAGGTGAAGAGGGTTTTTCCTCTTGATTTCACGTCCATGCGATCACGTGGTCGGCATAGAGGCGACATCTCATGCCGTTGCCCGGGATTCAGCTCCGAGATGCCGTCCCTCCCCACATAGAAGCCGCCAACTTACCGAGCTTCATAGTAAGATGAGCCTATTGCAGGGTTCGACTGTTATATCAAATATCGTGGATACCCTCTGCAAACATCTCATAAGGAGGGGAAAAGCCTCAATATCATCATTCTATGCAATTGGGGCCATATCTATTTTCAAGGCAAATACTTACGTATGACTTAGCCTGAAATGTCTACTTCTTTAAAGCCATCCCTCAAGGGCAGCAGAAATACGTGACGATCAAAGTACAATTATCGCAAGATCGTCATACCCATCTTCTAGACTTCCCTCTTTATGAATCTCAGCCAACTAACTTGGATTAAGTATGGCTTCGGAAATTCGGCATTCCCGCACACTCCTCGGGCGGACTCCCCACGTCTAGGATTATAAACACATGGATCAGTCTTATTAATGTAACCAGCAAGTATGTAGAGAAACATCATCGTCGCAGTTATCAGAGACCTGTGGGCCGATGGAGCTTTGGGGGTCCCTTGGGCCCACGGGACCCGTAATGGAGCTTGATATCTGGGGGAAGTTTCTCTTGAGTAATGAAAATCTGATTTGAGACGTGAATGATGTTTCTTTCAAGTAATAGAGAAAGTTTTCTATAAAGGGGAACCACTTCCCCAGAATCATGGACCCCTTTAATTTTCCTCACTTGACTAGCTTCCCCAGATTCTCAAGCGTTTACATCCTCTGCCGTTCTCCTCTGGTTCTCCAAGCTGGTCTTTGGAGTATCTTCTTCTTTTCTATCTTGAATTCGAAATATAGCCACTATGAAGAAATCAAAGACTTCCCCAAGCCCCAACGACCCCCCTGAGGCCTTTCAGTATGGCGAAACGGACACACACGTCGAAGACGCTGTCTTTGGTGAAGTTTCAGAGGGTGGTCCCAACTACAGAAATGTACGGGCTTACATTAAGAACAGCGACGCATGATACCAATTTTTCATTCTTGCTAACAATATAGCTAATAGCTTGGATGGATTGCAACTGTGGCTCTCATGGCGAAGACACAGATTGGTCTTGGTGTACTTTCCATTCCGAAAACGTTCCACTCTCTGGGGCTGGTCCCAGGAGTTCTGTGCCTGGTCGCAGTCTCTGTCATCACCACCTGGTCGGATTATATGATTGGCACCTTCAAACACAACCATCCAGAGGTCTATGGTATCGATGATGCAGGCTATAAGATGTTCGGTGTCATCGGACGTGAGGTTCTGGCTATTGTCTTCATGCTCTGTAAGTAGTACATACCCAGGAAGCGCTATTGACCACTACTAAGTCCCTAGATTGGATTTTTGTTTCGGGCTCTGCTCTCCTGGGAATCTCGATCGGTCTCAATTCGGTATCAACTCATGCTGCATGCACGGCAGTCTTTGTAGCCGTTGCCGCTGTGCTCGGGTTTGGGTTCTCGAGCATCCGAACCCTCGGGCGTATTGGTTGGCTTGCCTGGGTTGGTTTGATTTGCATCATGACATCTAGTAAGCTTAGAGATCCCTCAGCATTCTTTGCAATAAAAAGCTAACTTACGATGAAGTCTTCTGCGTTACTGTCGCAGTTGGCGTACAAGATCGCCCAGCCGCTGCTCCTACCGAGGGACACTGGGAATCAGATTGGCAGCTTACGAACAACCCAACATTTGTCGATGGTATATCTGCAGTCTCTGCACACATCTTTGCGTTCTCAGGGACGCCTGCTTTCTTCTCAATTGCAGCTGAGATGCGGGAACCCAAATATTATGCGCGATCCCTCCTGACGTGCCAGACCATTGTTACCGTCACATACATCACCATTGGTGTAGTGGTATACTACTATTGCGGCTCATCTGTTGCCTCACCAGCCTTAGGGTCAGCCGGTGTGGTCATGAAAAAAGTGTGCTACGGGTTTGCTCTCCCGGGATTGATCGTCACCGCTATGCTTATGACGCACGTAAGTACAAACAATCTATTACTTGGTCGATGGGTGACTCACATGTTCTTAAGATTCCCGCCAAGTATCTGTTTATTAGGCTCCTGCGCGGTACGCCGCACCTCAACTCCAGCAATATGGTTCACTGGGGGACCTGGCTAGCTTGTACGGGCGGCGTGACTATCGTCGCATATATCATCGCGAGTGCTATTCCAATCTTCAGCAGCCTCGTGTCTCTCATCGGGGCTCTTCTTGGTACCTTGATGTGCTTTCAACCTTACGGCTGTATGTGGCTTTATGACAACTGGACATTGGGTAAGAAGGATAAGTCCCTGAAATGGTGCCTCATGGTTGCGTGGAGTATCTTTGTGATTGTTTCTGGTACCTTCATGATGATCGCTGGCACATATGGCTCTGTTGTGACTATCATGGAGTCGTTCAAGTCATCTGGTGGTACAGGTGCCTGGTCCTGCGCCGACAACTCCAACTCTACATGAAATTTCGTCGAGAGTGACTCACATTTTTTTCTTACCTGGACGGAGGATATCGTGGAGTAGATTATTCTAGTATATGGCATGATGAGAAACCGTATATCACTTTCCACAAAGGCTTGGTTACGGAGCATTTTGTTTTTTATTTGAGAGAAGACTCAATTATATGGTTTAGTGAAAAGTTTCAATTGAGATCAGGTTTAGGAGAAGTGCCTATTACCGGCCAAGACGAGCGAGTAAATGTCTTTCGAATGCATCCAAAAAAAAATAAGAAAATAGAGGGAGTGTAATTGAGTTATTGAAATCATAGATGTTGAATCCTGTTCTATGTCGAGATATATCAAGCGTAATATCGGCCCCTCGCCAGGTGAGCTAACCACCTTGTATATAACTACCTAAGCCATGGACTAGACTCATTGGTGATGCGAAGGCCTTTTGGTCATGCCTTCGAGCGGTCGACCGATGGTTTGACGAATCTAGGATGAAAGATGATAAACAGAATCATCACCGAAATCATCGGAAACGCGTCAAATATATACAGCATGGACTCGTTCTGACTGACAAACCCATGGAATCCTTGCCCAAACTCGATCACTCGAACCAAATTACGGACCCAGATGACCACAATGGAGACTGCCAGCATGATGACGGCCCAACGCCAGCGTCCACGGAGAAGAATAGTGCGGTAAGCCAGTCTGTAGAATCTTACAACTAAGGCAAGAAAGACAGCCATAACACAGAGCTGGAAGATAAGCCCCCCCAAAACCACTTTGTCGCCAATTTTCATAATCTTAAGGTCACCTGTCACTTGCACTAGAGATCCACCAATCTGAGTGCAAAACGAAATGATGTCGGTGAGGACAAAGAATGACGTTGGGCTGCAACGGCGCTTCGGTTCATTGAGCATCATTTGCTTGTATCGGCCGAGCGTGACGTAGATGGTTGCTGCAATGAAGACAGGTCCGACAAGAATAAGCATGAGTTGTAGCATGAAAGGACCAGGTCTATTAGGCTCATTCCCAGCCCAGCCTCGTCCGTAATATCCAAAGGTCTCGCCTTGAGTTCCGATTAGATCAACACCAATACGTCTCTTGGGATGTAACTTACATATACCACCTAGTATCATGGGAATAAAATACCATGTTCGTGTTTTGAACATGAGCACGGCATGAACCAGGGTTACCAAGCCGAACAAAACCATAAAAACATACCCAGCGCTGGCCGAGGGGACATATGGATAGTAGATGACATTCCCGTCTTCAAATTGAACCAAGCCCATTCTCGAGCGAGTTTCAGTAACGTATCGAAGCAGGGGAATATATCGATAAGCAATAGATGCCAATTGAAAAGTTGAGAGATTGTAAAACGAAGAGCGAGCATAGAAATAAAAAGAACGGACAAGTTAAAGATAAAGATTGCCGTGGGCTTCATCTCTCTTTAATCCATCGAGTATGATTCAGGGCCGATGTTGTAAGTGAGAAGTGGATACCGCACTGGGCTTTTTTTTGATGCACCAATCGGATAGTTTACGCATTTTAGACGCTGCGTCATCTCCTTGAACGATGGGCCCGGAGCAACTTCATGCTCTTTGATTCCAAACAACGTTGAGTTGGCGCAGCATAAAGCAAGGACCGGGAAACTGTGGTAAGTTGAAGCTTGGCTGGTTACACTAAGGCGTGCGGTGATTGAATGTTCATTAAGCCTGCTGCCGAATGAAATACAATATGTGCTAGACAAAATAATCTACAATTCCGTTGAATCGGGTTCGGGAATATCGAAAATAGTTGATTTATTAAGGAAGGAAATTCAGGCTCCTACAGTAACCGTCTACGTAGAGTCGCCGCAAAAAAATGACAAGAACTTCAAGGTTGTCGATTGCCACACTTGGAAATTTGGAATGCCCGTTAAAATGTGTTTAGTAGTTTAAGGACCGAGACATTCATATCACTGTTATTAAAAAATCTTGGTTGGCACAATACGTGGGCAGCTCAAGATCACTTTGTCGCATTAGTCAAGTAGCTTGTGAAGCAAATGGTTCCGATGATGCTTGCAGATTGGAGAACCACTGGCTCTGCCACCCTAAAATCGCTCAGGAATGTCACTGAAACGTGAACACCACCGGTTTCACTAGCTATTAATAACACGAGTCGCCAACGTCATGCCTGTGGCTGGTCTGTGACGGCGTTTGATAATGGCGTGAAGCTGACCAATGAGATAATTTACGCATCAAATCCGAAAAAGAGTTAGGGGGGACCCATTAAATACTTGTGGGACGGACCAAAGCCACCATCCATAGAATATTCGTTTTCTCTTCCGCACAACCATCCTTGATACATAAGCTCAAGCTGTCTTTCGCACCAGATAGCTCAATACAGGAGTAGCAGTGATGGAAAGTTCAAGCCCTACCGAGACAGGTTTGCCCAAGGCCCTCCCTAGGAGGACCCACCGGAAATCTAGAAACGGATGTCTCCAGTGTAAGAGACGCAAGATAAAGGTATACACCCCTCTTCTTATACGAGCTTTCGAATTCTAATTTGACTCTGTTTGACCGGTAGTGTGACGAATCAAAACCAGAATGTGGCAAATGCATCAGTTTCCGTATTCCATGCAGCTTCTCTCCCTCTTCTGCTAGTGCCTCGGGAGGGGAGTACTCATCCGATATCAGCCATGGTTCACACGCTGAGCGCGGCAAAACTTCTCACAAGATTCGTGGGCGGCCACGCAAGGACTGGTCGGCTATTGAGTCGTCACTACATCAGGAGTCTAGCAGTCCGGTCTCAACGTCGAGCTCGTTTGACAGTGATCCGTCGCTCCTGAATCTGGATCAAGCTGAGCTACTGCATCACTTTACCACATCTACCGGGCTGAGTTTAGCCAACCCAGATGATAGAGACGATCCCATAACGCGATTTTGGTCACACAATGCTCCGCTTGTCGGCTGTAGTTCGCCGGCAGTTCTACATCTTTGCCTCGCTCTCGCCGCCCAGCATCTTCTGTATCTTGGCACGGGCCTCCACCACCAAAACCGCGCCCATTATGTCTCCTTGGCCGACGAACATTTTGAGGCAGGTCTCACCAAAGTAAATGAAGCTCTCCGAAATGTTAGTCCAGCAACTAGCGGTGCCACATATCTATCAACTATTCTCCTCTGCTATTGTACCTTTGCTAGAGGGCCCTCGGGACCAAAAGATTTCCTCGTCTGCGATTTATCAAAGAGCACACCAATGCGGTGGCTTTCCATAGCTAAGGGCACTGCCGTCTTGCGCGAGACTTTTGGCGCAGATACTCTCTTTACGGGGCTCATGTCTCCGTTCAACAACCCTTACGGGACATCACCTGAAGAGGATCCACGCCCTAGCTGCGTGTGCCAAAACTTCCCAAAAATAGAATGGTCAGCCCCCCTAAGGGAGCTACGCCGTTGGATCATCTCATGCGAGAGCGCCGACTGTGAAGTGCTGCTTGCGTCTTTGGCAGTGTTGGAGAATATCTACGAAGCTACATTTGGCGACGACCAGGGCGGATTCCAATGCGCCCCGAGGTTCAAGATGGTTTTCATATGGCTGTATGTTATGCAAGATTCCTTTCTATCATGCCTTAACAAGGCCGACAATAATCTAGCCTTACTCTTGGTCGGCTACTACGCCCCTCTGCTGAAAACTATGAGAAAGGTCTGGTATATTCACAGCTGGGCAGAGCATATTGCCGCGGCGCTAAAATTAGAAATCAAGGGGGACCATTCGAAGTTTGTGGAATGGCCAGCAACAGCTATTCAGTTGCTTGAAGCGCCAAGCTGTGCTAAGAATACCAATTTCACTATCAGAAAATGATAGATCAGCTGTCGCGTGTCCGACTGACGTGAGACTCCCATTCTCGTGTTTATGCGGTGGCTGTCGGAAGCGCAAGTGATTGGAAGGGAAAACGGGTCATAGCCTCCATCTCAAGGTGATCATTTCTTGTACCGGTCACTGGTGTGCCTCTTAGGCTTTTTCTTTGCAGATTCTGCTTATGTGCAGTCGCACGTTCTATTGAGGGGACTATGATGAGAGATATATTCCTTCTGTTGTCTTGTATATTTTGTACGGATAGAGAATAAAGTGCTTAAAACCCCCATCTTCTTTGCAGCAGCACCTAACGAAGTCTTGTTGAGTGAAGAATGATGGCAAAAATGACGTCTCCGAACCAGGAAGAGCGAGAAATACGGACCTCCGAAACTGAATCTACGGATCTTTCGCTGCCCTCCATACACTCTTCACCCTTCCTGTTAGATCACCACACGGGTTTCGATGAATCATCACCGGCTCCAGCTCTCTACGACACCTCTAGAGTGAGCCTAGAAGAAGTAACATGTGTGGTTGACAATATGGCTGCTCATAAGGCAGTCCCCCTATCGATTGAGGTGGACTCAATGGATCCACACATTAAACCCATTGCATCCGAGTCTGTTCAGGAACGTAAAGACTCTAAGAGCATTGGGTTCTATCCTATATGCAAGGCGTGGGTTTTTGAAATTGTCTCTGTCATACTCGGTATCTTGCTGTTTCTCGGTATGTCTCAATTTGTGTGCCCTAGCTCACGCTGAGCCTAGCATGTGTTAACTGGGTAATTGAAGCAATCGTCATGGCTTTTACACAATTGAACGGTAAAAGCCTACCAAACTGGCCACTAGCCATAACGCTAAACACTCTCGTTGCATTTCTCACCATGAGCTCCAAAGCTGCTCTTACAGTTCCAGTATCCGTCGCGATCAGTCAGGCCCAATGGAACTGGTTCCAGCAAGAGCGACCGCTCTATGACTTTCATACATTTGACCAGGCCAGCAGAGGAGCCTGGGGCTCACTGGTATTCCTGAAGCGAATCCACTTCAAACACTTTGCCAGTATCGGGGCTTTTCTCATGGTTGTGAGCCTCTTCACTTCTCCTATTACTCAACTCGCAATCAGCTATCCGATTAGAAGTATAGTTGTTGAAGGGAGCGCCAATGTTGGCATCGTTCCTTTGATTTTATTCACCAGAGATTCATTTCATCTTTCCGTCATGCGAGCACTTGTTTTATCAACAGCATTGGATACGGATCGATTTTCAACCCCTATTGAGCCCAAGGGAGCTTCCTGCTCTACCGGAAATTGTACATTTGATACATATGCGTCACTAGGTGTCTGCCTAAAAACAACCAACATCTCTTCACAGTTGCATATCGAGCAACTACAAGATGATGCCCCAACAGGCTTTGGGCTTTACGATGCCTGGCCGAAATTCCCTATCATATTCCCTGGGGCAGGGGAGGTATGGAAGGCCTTTATCCCTGGGGGTCCAGTTCTCGTAAGCCAAACTGGCTTTGACTCAGTTTTGGCCATGTTGAACAGAAGTGAAAGCATTGGTTTCCGCAATAGCGGTGACTTGATGCAAACAAAGATTCTTTCTCTGGTGCTTATCTACACGAAGCCCATTATTCCCTCTAGTCTTTTCGAAAATGGCACACAGCCAGATACGGACATGATATTAAAATCAACCAATGGATTCCAGTTCGAGGCTTTGGAGCTCTTCTTCCATCTTTGCGTTCACACATACAACACAACTGTTCGAAGGGGTAAGGAGACCACTCGAGTAGAGCAGTCCGTGTCCCAGCCTCTTAGAAAAGAGCCCGGTGCATTTCTAGATCTTGTTTGCAGTTCATTGGTCATCGAGATGGGTAGGGACTGCCAAGTGAACAAATCACGGTACAACGAAACATTATATTTAAAAGCTCCTTTCATCAACAGTCATGGCACAAACAGTTCTATGGACGACAAACATTTCGGTATCGATTACCAATCCATAGAGACTATGGGTGAGGACATGGCAGTTTCACTCCAAGGCTACACAGGCAGGTATTACAACCCCCAAGCGGATCGCTCTGGCACCATTAATTTAGGGAAGGAGTTTCAATATCATATTTACACAGATGCCTTGTTCTCTATAGACTCCTTACGAAACACATCTGAGCGAGATAACCGAGTGTCAAACGTCTTTACAAACGTTGCCACGGTCTTATCATCCATGTTAGTTGAGCTATCCGGCACTATAACGTATTGGCCAATCGTTGTCTAACTATCATAGGATACGTGACCCTAACTCCGGCTTTGCTTCTGAGCACGTCTCAAACTTCACTGGACAGAACTGGAAAGACGAGTCTTATGTGCATATAAACTGGGGGTGGATTTCATTCCTGGCTGTAGAGAACGCGCTTGCGGCTGGTTTTGTGGTCCTTACAATGATATCTCAATCAAGGCGTCGAAGAACGCACAAGAGGGAGAATGTTCTGGTTTATGAGGATGCTAAAGACTCCTCACTAGCCACACTCGTCGCTTTGGGGGACCAGTGCCGTCAGAGGATGGGTGGTGGGCTGAGACCTATTGAGGAGCTTGAGAAGGCCGCAAAGGACCTGCGGGTGAGGCTTGACACCCAGGAAGTTGTTCCCGCCGAAAGCTCGTGATCTTTAGTCTTAGCGACGAGAAGTGGTTGTATACTTTCGGTATTTGATGATTTCATAGCAACCTCCGTGAGTCTATTCCTCCACTTGTTGGAGGAGCATGGCATTACTCAAATGCGTTGCAAAGGTAGAAAACAAGCTCGGTTTATTTTTGATGAGGAAAGGCGCTCGGGGGCTTGCGTATGAGATTATCCTTTTCTGATGTTGAGAGACTGCATATGACCAGGGGTAGAAAACCTGGAAGAGACGATATGAATGCAGTGAAATCATCACATTTCTCATTTGATGGAGCAAGTAACTTACTAGTTGGACTTGAAGACGGGGCTATGCTAAACTCCATTCTGAGAATTTTAATCAATTAGATCGGCAGGTTACAAATATCGCCTTTAGACTTGGTTGTGGAGATATTGATGAAATAAATCCAAAAAATAACATCACCGGGTCAGAAGATAGAGATGAACCTTGCTATAGGCACTGGCTGGGAGTCGTCAATGCTTGTGCTGTGAGTTGTCTAGCAATAATGACTTTCCTGGTACTGGATAGGAATATGGCGAACATTACTGCACAGTTTCAGAGCCAATATTATCTTTCATGCCTTGGGCTTTTTGCACGGACCATAAAATAGCCATGGAAGTAAATCTGTTAGAAGATTACTTTTGTGTAAATGAAGGCTTTGCTGTATAGCAAAGGAAAGGAAAGGCTAGATAGCGTTGCGTGGAACTCTTGGAAGAACTAGCACGTATTCATGATCTTCCTATTTCAAAGCCTAGTGAATTGACGGTACATTTATATGAGCTCTTTCAATTCGTTTACCCTTTCCTAGGACAACTGAGTGTCTTGGATGGATGGCTAGTTCACTCTTGAGATTGTTTTTATACTCCAGCGTCCACTGGTTGAGCGCCGTGCAGTAATTTGCTACAGAATCTTTCAAATACTGATTCGTTCAGGTGTACATTCAGTCACTATGCCACTCTGTTGAAGATGAAAGCTTGAACTGTATCAATAGATAAGATCAATACAGCTCTTTTGTTGCACAACGCGATGTCACGTGGGGTTATTCTACGGAAGCCTAGTTAATCTTAACGTGTGGCATCTTTTCCCCCGCTACTCTTTAATTGGGCGTGTCCGACGTCTGATTAGTGAAAGTCGTTGTTCCCACTCGTTAAGAATCTTATCGTTCAACTTTCAGATTCGTTACCACCAGCTTTAAAAGACGCATTAGCTTGCAATGTTGATAAATAGAGATACGCCATTGAGATTAATACTTGCTTTAGCACCTATACAGCTTGATAGTGCCGTCCATATAGCACATAAGCATATTGTCCGTCCCCACAACTACTTTAACCTCTTGACTTGCAGCCGTTTGGCCCACAGGTTCGGCCCTGATCAGAAGGGATAAGCAAGGGGATAGCGCAGTTCCGAGGACATGGGTAAGTTTCGGAGGGAGGGCCGATAACACAACGGCAAACGGTGCAAACCTCGACGTAGTAGTGGCACATTGTAATAAAGATGCAAGTTGAGGTGAGAAAGTAAGATATCTGGCTTTGCAGCTTAAGTGGAATGTAGGAATTATAAAGTTTGAGAAGATTCGCTCAGAGGATTCGAGCAGGTTAAATAGTTTCTTTTTTTCTATGACATGTGTGTGTCATGACGATTCTACAACTTGGTTTTACATTAATTCACAGCCATTCCACCAGTCACTAAGTCCTATGGGTCGCACAGTTGGTGAAAAGCTATTCTTAAATATATGGGTTACGTATGCTTGAGTAATCCGGGAGTTAAATCACAGCAAGAATTTAACGGTGAGTGAGTGATTTAGTTGACTTCTTCACATACACAACCAAGGTACACAAAATTGTCCACACATCAAGTATTGAAGATTTCTCTGAGGTTTTTGATTAACAAATAAGAGAGATACGCAATTTATCAATAGAAATTGCGCTCAATCAGTAGACTGTAAGGGTAATCACTGGAGAACCCAACAAAGAATTCATAAGGCTAAGAAAAAAAGACAGAAGTCCACGTGTCGACTCCGAGCTCAAGACCACATGATATGAGTTTTAAGGGCACCTTTCGGAGAATCAAATAGGGCATTCACAAGGCTAAGGCTATGAAAGAAAGCGCATCATTAGACCGCACACCGGCAAGTATGATTTCTTCCCACTACTATTAATGATTTCTCATTGGGTATGACAGAGAGTGGATGCTAATTTATGCTTCTGCTTCAGAGATAGAAAGGCGGAGATGCTTCGGGTACCTTCATGATTCACACGATGGGATACGGAGCATCGGATTCGACAGTTAAGACCCCAGTTCCCAGCTGCTTCCACTAAGTGAACTCACGCCCATCTCCACTTGCCTTGCGGAAGAGAACGGTTTGAATAAATGCGGCAGTTTTGGATGATATCGTGAAAATCATTGTATGTTTACCAAAATCCGAGGCGTGGTAGACAGACATCAGGGGTTTTTCTTTAATATTCAAAAAGGAACATAGAAAGGCTGGACAAGGCTCGTATAGAGAGTACTTGAGAAGGCGGATCAAAGTTTCAGATCTTCTGCATGTTTTCCTGTGTAGGTTTTGGTAAAGATTCGGTGCAATAAGAAGCGAGTCTTTTCGGTTCAATATGGCCAAGCATGAAGTTTTAGAGCTAACGGCAGAGATAGAAAGTCGAGACCAGCATCATCTCAGGGAATATGTGGATTTTTTATCCAGTTGCATGGACGAATCTGCAGTTATCATCAAACATGATGAAGTAATTTCTTTTTAGAGGAAGATCTGAGTTACTGAACGTATCCCAGGTCAAAGGTCAAAGGTTTTCTGATTGAAAGGATGGGTCGTGAAAAACAACACCCGGAAAAAACAAGCTTCTCAGGCAACAAGAATCTGCCATTCCAATTGCGCGGCTGCTTGCATAGCCCTAGAACTTACTTGAAAAGGGGTATATCTGTCAATACAGCGTGGCTAAGCGATCACATGTGTACGCTAAGCGAAGAGTGAGAAGGGGGCTAGTTGAAGAGTCCTCCAAGCCACGTAGGCATACTTGGCTCGTTGGCTCTCTCTAGGAATCAAGTCTAGGTACAGGGAGATCGTGTCAACGAAAGATAGGGACTATCAAATCAGCCTCGTTAGCGACCAACCCTACGTAATCTACAACCGTTTTTATGAACGCCAATTGCATTCGCCATCGTAAGTATCATTCTAACCAGTGATGTTTGGTTTTTGTTTTCACCGAATTGCTCAGCTGCGCATTTTGAACAGCCCTGTGCTATGTACCTAGCTCCCGTTGGTGCATAGACCCTTGCTGAGGCCCCTCATGCCGTATTGCTCGCGAAGAAGCTTGGCGTGGGTGTTCAGCCTCGTAATGGCAGAGCGAGTGTGGCGTTGCTCTTTCATGCAGGTGAAACAATGAACAGGGCGTTCTTATTTAGGTTCACGATGCAAGCAGTTAAGACGGTAAACTCAAGCACATAATATCAAGTTGTTTCTCATCTTCATATCCTTCTTCCAGAATCCTCCTTGCATACAGCATAAAGCAACTGCTTGACCATCTAGAAATCAGCATTCACATGGACAATCTTTCAATCATCATATGTTACCTTGTTTTCTTTCCGACGCCTACGACCGCAGCCCCCGGCACGCCATGGCTAGTCACCAGAAGCAACGAGCCTTCCCTATTCACAAGAGCACGAGAGATCAAGACTAAATTAGACCGATTAGTTGTCGGGATTGGTGTACCGGTCTTTTTTCCTCTCTTTTCTGCAGTTATTGCTTTCGGGTTGCTTCGAGCGCGTTATAAGGATTGACGAGAGGCTCGCCGAAATGAGCTTTTAGAGAGCGCGGGACTCTCGGCCAGCCCCAGATCTTCCACAGATGGCCGGATTCCTTTGATGCCATCTTCTTCATCGTCGGAGCCGAAAGAGCCACCGCCAATATTCACGCCATTTTCATCTATGGTCTTCGACAGATTGCGCGAGGAGCCTTATAACCTTGAGCGTTATGATCGCTGAATCCGGAGGTCTATCGATGTTCAACTATGAGCACACACAAACTCTCTTTGGCCTGCTCGTACCACACCCCTCAACATTCCTAGTCGGGTTAAACCCCATGATACAACTTTGAATAGGTGCTGGATGGGGGGGTTTGAGAGGTCCAGCCCAATATGGACTAAATCATTGCAGTCCAGGCAGGCTGACCGCGTGGTTGATGGGGCGATTCATGATCTTAATGTGCGTTTTTCACAAATATTGGCGACAAAATAGGTAGCCTCGGCGACTAGACAATGGAATCGCGTTCGAGGTGGAAGCTAAGAGTATTCTGGTGAATTCTTGTTTACGGAATGACTACAAGTTTTATACCTGAGCATACTCACCTCTTATGCTAGATAGGTTCACAGAATCCATTCCCAATGGGCATACATTTGCCAGGCATGGATACTTGTGGGTAGCGTAAGTCAGAACAACGAGGGCCAATGGCTTCATGGACCAGCCGTTAACGTCATTCTTTGCCAATGGATTCCGCCTACCTCTGTCAACCTTGAGAAACCCCCGGAGTGGTGGAGCCTAGATAGGCTAGATATTATGTACATATAGTATCGCACTCGGTGTGAGCAGACCTTCCTCCAATAGAAATTGATATCCTGCCGCGAATGTAACCCTAAGGCAGACAACTCGTCTGACACGAGGGTCTGCGCCTCGGCACCGATGGACAGGGGTGGTGTTGTCACCCAACCCTCGCTTACCAGAAACCAGTTGGCTCATAAGGCAGCTGGCTGCCTCTTATCCCCGCATGCGGAACTTGCAGTGGTATAACTACATCCGACATCACCATCACCAACGCTGCCCAGGCATGATCTCGACCACGCTTTAGCATGATGCACTGCCCTTCGTCTCTTGCCCTCACGGGGCTGTTGGCTTTACTTGCCGCGATTCCCGAAGTCTACGGTAGTGAGCTTCAGCAGCCGCTTCAAAACGAAAACCAGAAGCATGCCGAACAACCCATTACTGTCGATGTCAGTCCCTATCGATGGGAGGACAGAGATGCGGAGTTGACTCTCTACCACGATCCGAAATATCCCTGCTCGCCGAAACGAAATGGCTTAAAGGCCAAGCTTAACATCCCCGTTGGCACCTGTGCCTCGGCCAACTTCACGATGGAGGACAATGTATATCTCGGCTCGCCAGGATTTTGTGGGGGGACGAGGAAAGTGGCCTACATTGGCATTTATGAAAGCGCCGACTGTACGGGGGAGGCAAAGCATCCAGACTGGTACGACCGTGGACGTTATTCCATGACTGGTCACTGTCTCTCCAAGCACTATTGGGGTTCCAAAACCAAAGCAGACCAGTGGTCCATTATGTTCCACTGCACCGAGGATAAACAAGTCACGGAGACGACCAAGCAAATCAACATCAGCCTCCCACAGCCTGCTCCTGTTGTGGAGAAGCCAAAGCCCCCAAGGCCTACCTTCGCCTCCGTTTCCGACTCAGCCTGCTACATTAAGGAACTCGGGTTCAAAGGCGCACCGAGGTTTATCTTCCAGAAACCTGCGGCTGACAAGTGTATCAATGTAGCACCTTTGCATATGCTCAAGATTTATCGGACTGCTCTTTGCCCTGACGGAAGCGATGCCTTGTTTGCAAAATGGAACGGCAAAGGATGCAAAGGCGAACCCAAGTCGAAGCAGGTCGTGGACGACTCCTTAATCGCTACAAACTACCCGGACACGTGCATCGAGATGGGAGGGAAGGATGCAAGCAGCTATGCGTTTTGGTGTTCTGGAGATTTGACTCAAGGAAAGGCCGCGCAGAGTCTCTTCGAGAATGATGACCCAAACGCTGTCCGTGTCCATTACTCAAACATGCCCAAGCAACGTCAAAGCCGAGTAAAGAAGAGCGATGCCAATGGACTGAGGGCCCAAAATATCTTCCTGTGTGGATTTATTGTCTCTTTGGTTGGATTCAATCTTCTTTAGATGCTTCGTTGGCATCTATAAAACACAGAATGATTTGGTTACAGATGCCCCCTGTTAGATGTTAACTCAGTTTTGAAGAAGTAAACGACCCTGCGATATTATTTGCATTGATATCATCTGAAACTATTGAGGGGGATATTGGAGGAGCAGCGTAATAGAAGTCCTAACATAGTCCACAATTCCAACAATATCTATCTCGATACCACGAACTTCCAGAAGGCGTTAAGCCGGCCAATAGCAGCAGAAACGCTTCTTACCAACGATGTCGACTGCCCAATCTATGCGAGGCTTGTAGTCTCGCTACCCGTTCCGGCCACGGGTGCTTTGACCTTCTTCTCCTTATCGCCGCGCTTGAATGTAGACATTTGGAATGAAGTTGACAGTCTTTTCAACTTTTCAGAGAAGCGGGATCTTCCGGGTTGTGCAACGCCTTTTCCTTGTTCAGCGGTCATAGCTGGCACAGAATTCGACGGTGGTATTGTTTCTGCGATCAAACTGCGTAAATTTGAAGATTTTAAAGTAGGATACTCTGGCAGAAAGCTCATGTCGTAGCCACAGCCAACAAATTTCAGAGTGAGATATTCCCATATCCGGCGCTTTGTCGTGTGCAGGACGGCCCCGTGTTCGATCAGTGCCCTGAACGCATCGTATATGGCAGAGTCGATGAAAACTGTATCGATAGGAGAGATGGTAAGAATAAAGGAATCCAGTACCGAGTGACCACTTGCGTGATCAAAGCTAGAGTTAGGGTTCACGCCTAATGCCAGCAGTTGCCTCATAAGCTCTGGTGGGCATCTGTGAATCAATGAAAACTTGTTGTCTCGCTTTCGGAACAGAATGGTTTCGCCCGTAAACCCTTTTAGGGCTTCTGTTGTTATGGCGATGTAATCTCTGCGGCTACAAACGCTCTCGTCCGATGCACCCGTAAGATTGGAAAGGCGGTATTTCCAAATCTTGACGAAGAGTTCATGCATAGTATCTAAATCCTTTTCCATTCTGTATCCATGTTCCACAATGTCAACTATCATTTGGATGGCGTCTGTAGGCTCGAGGTATCTTTTCTTCAGGGAGAGCATTATTGTTGGAAGAAGGCCACCTTTGCATTTGACCACAGCATCTGCATGTTGCTGCAGGATTTGTCTGAGGAGCAAACGCAACCCGGCTGCGACACAAAACTTCAACGGGGTCCAATCTTGGAGTATAATTCTATCCCTAACGAGGAAGGCCTGCCCAGTTCCGGTTGTTTTTTCTGCTTCCCTTGCATGGAAAAATAGTGGAAGCAGATGTTCCATCTTCTCGTCTTCCGTCCCATGAAAGGCCGTGCTTTTCCGTGCTCCTGGGAAAACGCTCTGATGGAACAAATACTCCGTCATGAAGGAATGGCCGTTGCCGTTGGTTGTTCTCCCGCGAACGCCAAGAATTGCATGTCGAAACCCGGGTTCCTGAACGAATTCTTGAACCGTCTGGTGCATAAACTGGATGATTGGCAAAAAGGAGTCGCCCCGCTGTATCGTTCCTCCTACCGAATCCGGTTCGTTATACCAGTTGACCATAGCATAAAACGTTTTCTTGTTGGGTTCCGATATTTCGAGAAGACCTCCCGAGATCGCCTTCAGCTGGTGGATTCCTTTCGCGAGCTCTTTTTTGGATAGATGCTTATTCCCATCCAGATATTTCCCCCAATCTACGGAGGTTGCTTCTTTGGACAAATTTAAGATACTCAACGCTTCCTCGACGTTCAAATTATTGCGGGACCGGACCATGCATTCAAGCAGAACATATGTATCCCATCGGAACACATCGGGTATTCTTTCCACAATTGTGTAGTAGAAATCATCTAGCTGGTCCGGTAGCTCTTTCAGCTTCATTTCCAATCTGAAGCTCAGTCCCTGGCCATCAGCATTCTCTTGAAATGGCTCGGCCACAACTGATGACAGCTGACGCATGACCAGCTTGACCCAGAGAAAAACGCCCTGTGATCGCTGCACGATTTTTTCTGTCAATCCGAACAGCACTTCTGCGCCAGGCGGCACGGACTCAACGGCATACTTTCGGATATCATCTTCCGTGTGCTCATGAATCTTGAAGCCAGGGCATGATTCAAATTCATCCTGGAACACTTTCCACGGCCGGCTGGAAAACAGAACTCGGACTCGCGTCCTTGACGAAGCGCCAATCATTCGTTTTAAGAAATCGGCGATGAACTCAGGCCGCCCATCATACTCATCGAGCGCGTCAAGAAGAAGAAAAAGGTCGAGGTCGATCTTATCCTGAAGTAAGAGAGCGTACAAGGACTCTTCTAATGCCCTCCTTGTCCAAAGCCTGGCAGGTAGCTCTAGCTCGCCGTCTTCCAACTCGACATCGTCTTCCAAATCAGGGCGATCTTCTTTCAACTTGGCACGAGCTGCTTTCATTTTGGCACGAGCTTCTTTAATTTTTGCACGAAGTTCTTTTGACTCGGCACGATCTATTGATTCTCTCCAAGCAGCAATATGTTCCGGGAATGTTTTCTCAACAATCCCCTCCAATAAGGTGCAGAGTTGAGGCTCCTTGCTGATGATTTGGAACAGAATGCTCTGGATGAGACCCTCGAATGACTTTTGAATAGCAGATCCACGATGGTGGAAGAAGAAGTTGATGAGAATCTGCTGATGTTTTGATCCCCAAGGGTGAAGAAGCTCATAGGTCCGGGGGTCATTCCAAATGAATTTCATCATGGTGGACTTTCCAGAGCCAGGCTTCCCGCTCAGCCAGAAAATCCCTTCCCCTTTTAAAAGCCACGAAGAGAGGTTGATATCTGGGTGATCATAGACCCAGCCAAATGTATTTTTCGTGTTCTCGTCAATGGTGTACAATCTAAGATCCCGTTCAGGGGCCAGTAGCGACTTTCTAAGAACTAGTTCCGGATTAGCTATTTCCGAACAGCCATATAGGCTTCATTTTAGAAGGTTCGTTACCTTGACTGAACCAAGTGATATCAGTTGTAAGAATCTTCGAGGCTTTCATTTTCCCATTTCCTGTAAACATATTCGAGTCAGGACGTTTTGACCTGTTGGCCGGCGTTTCAGAGATCACCCGGTTAGGTCTCTTTGAAGATGCATAAATCATAGTATTATCAATGATTTCTCTGATTTTGTCTGCCATTATAGGTATTAGTCGGTCCCCAGGTTTAAACTTGACCATGTTCGAGTGATCGGCGTCTATTTGGAGGAGGCGCTCCGGGGAGATTCCATGCCGGCCGCCAGTGGCAGACTCCGGTGAGACCATGACCGTGTCTGGGCCAGATCGCTTCCAACCTCCACTAGAATTCTGTGGAAAACATTAAGCGACGTAATTGTAATAAGCAGAGGGATTCTCACAGATAAGCTGGGGGTTGCTTGTGTTTCGTACGCCCAAAAGAGTACCATATCTCGAGTATAAGAGATTCCATCAAACTGTTTCTCCAACGTTGGAATATAGTTTGAGCGATCGGAAAGATAATCTAGGAGGGCCGTGTTCGGTTGATCCCCGAGCATCTCATAGATGTCAGGCACTGCCATTCCCACAGTCGGAACTCCGAAAAATATCGCACCCTTGATGTTGCGGATAATTTGCCTTTCCCGGACGCCACTCCCCGCCAGCATGACCATGCTCTGCTTCAAGACTACGCCTCCGAGACTATGAGCAAGGAATATGATAGGTTTAGCAGCCGGAGCAGCCCAGCCATTAGCTTTTAGCTCCGAGATCAAGGATCCTGCTATATCTGGCACAACCTGGAAGGATTTGCTCCCGGACAGGGCTGTATCATAGCCGTAAATAATGAATCTGACGCCGGGGAATCGACTGGGTAGAGCATCACGTATCCACATGAAACCTTTATCGCCCCGTGGCTGCCACGATCCCATCGGGTGGCTTGCCAGGCCAGAGATAACGATACAACTACGCTAAGGTCAGCCCATCTAATCCATCCGTATACATACTGTTCAGGAGTATATATACTCATCGGTGTGGCTATTTTCATTGACCTCGTTCAACGGAGTGAGGCCGTAGAAGTGGATGTCCAAGGTGATCGAACGAAGGGAGCCCAGGATCGGGAATGACCATTCCATGCGACCAGGCCCTTGAGTAAGAGCCACAGGTGCAGATTTGAACCTCAATGTAGCCACTTTTGTGGGCTCGCTCACCCAGGGATCAACAACAGGAGCAAGAGACTCTATCTGGACGTCTTCGAGGGTAGTACCCGGGATACACTGTGTGAGCAACTCAGCCGCTGCTAGGCGGTCTACATGGTGCGGGAGGTTCGTCGCTCGATAGACTTTGGGTGCTCCAGATGAGGCCATGGCGTGATGACATCCACGTTGCCTGCAGGCAGCGCATCCGTGGACAAGCACACAATCTAGAATCTGAAATCTGAGGCTGAGATTTCTCACCCCGTGATGTGAAGGCGCCCAAAGCTGCGAGTGTCAGCCTTTCGTGGGTCGCATAAGTCGTATTTCAGCCAATCACCTACCAGTTTGGTTAAGCGAGGGGAGTTCAATGTAACGTGGGTCTATATATAGACTTACACACAACCAAGATGTTCGCTCATAAACATGCCTGCGACAAATCTTAAACAAAACAGTTGAGGGAGGTTCAATTACTTGGTTACATGATCCAATATGCACTCGGTGCCAGACAATGACAAACTTTGGGTGGATGAAGCGCGCGATTCGAAACCTCTAGAAGAGAGCTCGGCCAACGACATTTGATAGTTCGCTTAGCATCCTCACCTCGTACCCATGACGACAACATTTTGATCATGGCAGCTAAACCCTGGATGGGGGAGATGCAACTGTCAAATCTAGGAATATTAAGTCCAAAAAGTAATCTCCTCAGCAGGAAAATCAGGCGAAAGATACCTCATCCCACCTCATTGTTTATTTTTCTGTATTGTAGCGGCTCTCGGGTAGGTCGAGCCGAAGCTGGGATATGATAGCGTTCTCGTAGTTAGATGTGATACTACTGTGTTGGGGAAAAACAAACAATACCACAGCTATTAGCGAGCTTAAAATACAGACTGCCAACCACATCAAAATCTAACAACCTTCTACAACAGCTATAAAAAGAAGGTTTTAAGTTTTATATATATTCTTATTTAATCAAATAGATTATATTTATAGCTGGTCAATTAACTGATTATAGCCGCCGTGAGGTTACAAAAGATATATCTTTCATAAGAAGGGATTTTTAAAAGTAAAAATAAGAAGGGGTAAAAAGTATATCTTTTTCTACGGATACAGAAAAATAGCCAATTTATCTAACCTGGCCGAATTCACAAGTAGGCCCCGACTCACTACATTTTGGGGAACTTTCATGATGAAATACTAAGTGAGGGAGCTGTACAGCTGCTGAAAAAAAAGGGGGGAATTCCCAAACACCAGTAATTTGATAACTTGATACCATACCCAGGCATCACAACACAATATTTCATGATGAAATATGGGATAAAGAACAACAAATATCAAAAGAAGTTTATTTGAATGTAAGATCACACTTATTTCAAAGACTTATAGAATAGAATCGGCCCCAAGCTCCCCTAGCCAGCCTTCGAAGCACTGACCTTCGAAGCATTCGTCTTCTCAATATCCTCTAGGGTCTTCATAGTATGGTCCCAAACCAGCTTCGCCGTATCTTCCTGACGAACGTTACTATATGCTACCTTGTTTGGCGAATCAGCTCGCTGCCCAACTGCATAAGCCCCGCCGCCCAACTGATCCTGGCTGCTCGTTGCGGGCTTGACTCCTTCAGGGACGTCTTGGCCTTTAGCTGGGAAGTGAGAGGTTGCAAGATACACCATTACGGCTCCGCAGTCTTCAGGGGAAGTCATATAGATGTGCCGAAGAATGGGCTTGAGGATTCTCCAAGTGACTCTGAACCACCTGGGCATGTCGTCGCTGAGGAAGCCAGGTCCATCGACAAGACCGGGGTAGATATGTGTCAGACTAAGACGCCCTGCATACTTCTCAGCCAGCTCTTCGAACAAGAATGTCTTCATGAAGGCGGTGTACTTGCGTACACCAGCCACTCCGTACTCCGAATCAGGCGGGAGGCCGATGGGTAATTTCCCGGGTTCTACTTCATCCTGAAAGCTACCAGTATAAACGGAAATGACGTGTCCGGGTTTAGGCGATGCGGTCAGGAGCGGAAGCAACTTCGTGATGAATCGGATGCGAGAGTAGTAGACCGTGGAGATGAAGCTATCGAGGCCCTCTGGAGTGGCTATACATCAAGATAAACGATCAGTTTCAATTCATAGAATGTCGGACTCCGGGGCTACGTGCTTACTGTGCCTTTCCTTGAGGATTGGGTAACAATATGTCATGTACAAGAGATCGAGCCTGACAAGACCGTCGTGGAATGGTGCCTCAGTCTCTTGCTTGATGATCTCGTCACAGCACCGATCCACCTCGCTGATGAGGGCAAGGTCGGTTGCCGAGACGAAGCGCCATTCAGAGCCTGGACTCAATAGTTGACACCCGGCTATCACGGATTTTGCTCGGACGGCGTTCCGGCCTACAATGTAGACCCGAAGCTTGGAGCCGTGCTTTGCATAGGTGGTTGCGAGCACCGTGGCGATGTAGGAACCAATTCCCGTCGTCGCGCCGGGGAGAGCCGCTACAAGAGGCGGGCCATCCGGCAGCTTTGAGATCTCTGCCTTGATGGTGGCAAGACTCGGCATTATGTGAGGGTAGCTCGGACTGGATCCGGTGTAAGTCTGTAGTGTGAAAGAAAGTGAAGGGGGATTATCTCCAATGAGTGGCGAGTATTGGTGTGCTGGTTGAGTTCATTCTCCCATATCAGATTGAACGAGACATGCTGAATTTATAGTTTACACGAAGGCTGCGATGACGGTGCTTGTTTGTATAATGTGAGCATCATACCCAAGACAGACTCGGATCGAGCACCAATAAGCGTTGCCCTCAAAACAATAAAGACGTGGGTGGATCAGTCAGGTCAGTCTAACCTCATTTCGTATCCGGAGATCAAAATAAGCCGAACGGATGGTATTCATCACCGGCATTATTGATTCCTTGCAGCAGAGGCATCATTCACCAAGGTTGAGTAAACGTTCCCGTTATCTCCGTAGGATCAAGCGCCGGCATTTGAAGTTGTTTCTTTATTCTTAATTCCACTAGTTTCCCAATACAGCAACAAGTCATTAATTATATACCACTTCTGATATCACGTCCTCCATTTTTATTTCAGTGGTTCGTAGGTGGAGTGTTCAAGTCACGGAACTCCCCACGCAGGCTCTCGATCCCATCCCTCCTCACATCCTCCACCAGCTTAGCCACTTGCGGCGCAATCTTCTCCCCGTTGAACCCGAAGAACTCGTAGGCGTCCTTGCCTGGCAGACTCTTGCCGAACGTCGACATGCTGTACCCGGCGTCGGCGTAGCGCTCCCACCCGTTGACGGCGTACGCCTCGATGACCACACGAGGTGCGTTGGAGCGGTACCGCAGCGTCTCGCGCTTGTACTCGGCCGGCTGGGCCTCGAAGAGGCGCTGGCAGGGGAAGGAGACGACGCGCGCCTTCAAACCGAACTTGTCGGCGAGGACCTCGCGGGTCTTGACGGCAAAGGCCATCTCGGCGCCGACGCCGATGAGGGTGACGTCGGCGTCGGCCTCCTCGATGAAGACGTAGGCGCCGCGGAGGACGCCGTCGCGGCTCGAGTGCTGGGGGAACTGCTCGAGGTTCTGGCGGGAGAGGGAGATGATGGAGGGGCTGTTGGTGGCCTCGAGGGCGGCGATGAAGGCGCCGGCCGTCTCCTCGCTGTCGCAGGGGCGGATGTAGAGGATGTTGGGCATGGCGCGGTAGAGGGCGGGCAGGGCGATGGGCTGGTGGGTTGGGCCGTCCTCGCCAGTGCCGATGGAGTCGTGGGTGGCGATGTGGATTTGTTGGAGGTGCTGGAGGGCGCCCATGCGGACACCGGGGGCGGCGTACTGGAAACAATCAGTTAGTCGGTTTTGCTCTCTAAATAAGCGGGATGAGGTTGGGGGGGGGGGAGAAGTACAATGTAGAACATGAAGAAGCTGGAGGTGACGGGGAGGATGGTGCCCTTTTGGTAAGCAGCGAGACCATTGGAGATGGATGCCATGGCGTGTTCCCTAATGCCCCAATGGATATAACGACCTTGGTAGGTTCCGTTGATACCAGCCGTTGTCCTTAGATCGGGCTGCGATACAAGTTAGTAGGCCATTCACCATACAGCTCGAGGTGAATCAATGGAAACTTACGTGCTGGAAATCAACCTTGTCCTTCCAGGCCATGTTGACGGAGGGACTCAAGTCGGCGGTGCCAACCATCATGTTGGTTAGCTTAGCGGCCAGAGGGTTGCAGACGAGGCCTGCGGATTTGCGAGAGGGTGTAGGTGTGGTAGGGAAGCTGTCCTTGGCAGGGATGATGCTCCTCCAGTCTTGGGTGAAGCGACCCTCTACACGGGCGATGAACTCCTTGTGCAGCTCGGGATACTCCTTGGCGTAGTCGGCAACGAGCGCATTCCAGTCCTGCTCGAGCTTCTGGCCGCGAGCCTTGAGGTCAGCAAAGATGTTGTAGACCTCATCGCTGACGACAAAGTGCTCGTCTGGGTTCATGCCGAACTTGGCCTTGACGTTCCGCACTTCGTCAACGCCAAAGGCGGCACCGTGGGCCTTGGCGTCGCCCGCGACTTTGCTGCCAATTCCAATGGTGGTGCGGACGTTGATGAAGGTGGGCTTCTCGGTGCTGGCCTTGGCCTGCTGGAGGGCCTTGATGATGCCCTCGACGTCGTAGTTGCCGTCTAGGACGTCAATGACGTTCCAGCCGTTGGCGCGCATTCTCGCATTGAGATCCTCGATACTGCACATGTCGACGCTGCCGTCGCAGGTGATTTGGTTGTTGTCGTAGATCATGACCAGGTTATTCAGCTTCCAGTGGCCGGCCAGATCGACAGCCTCCTGGAAGACACCTTCTTGTGGGCAGGCGTCGCCGATCATGACATATGTGGTGTTGTTTACGAGTTCGTAGCCGGGCTTGTTGTAGGTGGCAGCCAGGCTCTTGGTGGCCATGGCTAGACCGACAGCGTTGGCCACTCCTTGGCCAAGCGGGCCGGTTGTGACCTCGATGCCCTCGTGCTCGATTTCGGGGTGGCCGGGGGCGATGGAGTCGTATCGGGCGGAGTGGTAGGACTTCAGCTGGTCCATAGTCATCTGCTGGTAGCCCGTGAGGTGGAGGAAGGCATATTGGAATAGGCAGGTGTGGCCGTTGGAGAGCACGAAGCGATCGCGGTTGAAGTAACTGGGGTTTGTGGGCGAGAACTTCATCGTGTATCGCCAGAGACTTAGGCCAATGGCGGCCATGCCCATAGCAGAGCCCGGGTGGCCGCCGCCAAACTGCTGGACGAGGTCGGCGATGAGGCAGCGGAATTCGCGGAGGAAGCGGTCGACGGTCTTGTCATCTTCCTGGGCAAACAGGCGCACCTCTTCGGCAAACTTGGGTGCAGCGACGCTCAAGTCGGTGGTGGCAGAGGGTGCCATGATTGCTGTGTATTTACCGATTGAGCCACAGAAAGGAGGATTTGGTGAGGACAATCGAATCGGATGGTGATGCAAAAGATGCTTTAAGACACAGGCGACAAGTGGTCAAGAGTAGGAGGAAGGCAGTCCATGAAATACGACAATCGCCAGGTAAAGAAAAAGAAAACAAAAGTATCCCTTCATCTTTTTCCAACAGCTTCACGTGGACGATTTCAATTGGGATCTCTACATCACCTCCATTGCCCCTTTTGGAAATCGCAAGCGCCGCCTCTCGTGCTCTCTCACCAAGCCAAGCGACAGGCATTGGGCCTCTGTCCGGTCTACTCAATTAAAGAATGGGTCGAGTCATTCACCCCAAACTGCATTATTCCATAGCGGGGGAATCAACCCAATCGTGGGATCTGTGTGGGTATTTGTCGGCTTGCCTTCGAGATCATCCTTAGATCGCCCGGAGCTACTGGCAGAAGCTCCCAATATGGGAACCAGAGCCGCCCAAGAAATGCCACGAGGGGGAGGGGTGTTTAGCTGTTTGTTTCCCCTGGTTTCACGCACTAGGTACATGTAGTCATGATGCACGTACGTGTCGGGAGTACATGTATTGCATGGGAGTCGAAGAGATGAGGATGCCCTGAGCCTGGCCGCATTGTTCGGTGTCTGGATACACAGCTGTCTCCAATTGACACACGCATGGTTTGCTGGCTGCCATTCTCAGCGTTGCCGACTTGGCCACCTTAGCTGCTGACCAACTTCAGATCTTGATACGACACAGGTATGGCGGGGTGAAGGCGGGGATACGCTCAGCTGTCACTGAAACAATGCGTCTTTCACGGAGAGGGTCCATCGTCTTGATCGGACAATAGGTGCGCGGTTTCTCGCTGAGAATGGCAGCCAGAAGCGGATTTGTCGATAACGCTGCATGTCATCAGCTGACGTGAAATTTCCTGCCACCAGCCGGCTTGATCATTTTGTAAGCGGGGCTCATCGGCGCTTCAGGCTGCCGGTTTGGGAGAAATAGAATTCTGGCACATACCTCGGTGTTGGCAGACAATTGAATGGTAAATTGGAAGCTTGGAAGCTGTAAGCTTCTTGCTTCGTCGTGCTTCGTCAATTGTTTTGGAAGTCGTTGCCAGGATGGAAAGGGAAGTTTGAGCCACTGTGGGATTGAATTGGTAGAAGACAAATGGCCAGCTGAATACATAATGTTGTGGATGAAGAAATATTCAGTGCCAACATCACCAATCCATTCCTTTGTGTGCTGAACGACTGCCAAAATGCCCGGAAAGAGCTTCATCAACGACATCACAAACCCCGTTGAGCGGGCGCTTCGCAGCCAATTGCTTCGCGACCCGTCTCTGGCCATCATTCCGTCAGAAAAAGGTGTGTACCATCGGATGTGCATTGTGAATCAAGGCCTGGCTGACATTGTGCTCTTTCGCCAGTGCTGTACCGACGAGCCGCCTCGCAAACCGACAAAGTCGTCCTTCTCTCGGGCGGTGGCTCCGGCCATGAGCCCGCGCACGCCGGATATCTTGGAGAGGGGATGCTAGATGTGGTCGTGGCTGGCGAGATATTCGCATCGCCTTCCTCCTCCCAAATCCTGAGAGGAATCACAGCCGCACAGTCCACGAAAGGGTAACGGGCATTCGCCCTCCAGCCCCTAGGTCATTTTCTACCCTAAGCTAACTCGAATCTCCTAACGGATTAGAACACTCTTGATCGTCAAAAACTACACGGGCGACAAGCTGAATTTCGGACTGGCCGCCGAGAAGGCTAAGGCAAGTGGTCAGAGCGTTGAGATGGTGGTGGTAGGCGACGATGTGTCAGTCGAGGGAAGCTCGCTCGTCGGACAGCGAGGTCTAGCCGGGACGGCCTTCGTTCACAAAATCGCAGGCGCACTTGCTTCAAGAGGGTATAGCTTTCATCTCCTATAATCAATTAATGACAAGTGCTGACCCCCCTCCAGCGCAAACCTCACGGAGGTTGCAGCTGTGGCCCAGAAGGCCGCCTCACAGATGGCTACCGTCGCCGCCAGCCTCGATCGATGTACAGTCCCAGGTCGCAGCGCCCCAGGTCTTGCTGCGGACGAACTCGAGTTTGGCATGGGTATTCACAATGAGCCAGGAGTGCGTCGCTCCAAGATCGAATCCCTCGACAGCACGGTCCAATCTGCCCTCAACATGCTGTTCGCCCCCAAGGCCAACATGTGGCAGCCAAAATCAGGCCAGAAGGTGGCGCTGATGCTAAACAATCTCGGCGGTCTGAGTGTGCTGGAGCTGAGCGTCATATTCGAGGAGGTGGCAAAGCAAGTCGCTACTCGAGGGCTGGACGTGGTGAGGAGTGTCGTTGGTAGCTTCGTAACGAGTCTGGATGGGCCGGGCTTCTCCATTTCTGTCCTTGCCGTTGATGATGAGCTCTTGGAGCTTCTGGATGCACCGACAACGGCAAGTGCCTGGCCGCGGTCGATCCAATACTGGACGCCCAGCCAGGATGCTCAGATCACGAGCAAGCTTCCGAGCAGTGAAGGCCGCAAGGCCGGGCTTGAAGGTGCGTAAAACAATTTTTATTTCGCTCAAGTGGGAGAACATGAAAGATGCATGCATTACTAACATCGAAATCACAGTTTCTACCGCGCTTCTAAAGGGACTAGTAGCCTCCATCACCAAGACGGTCACTGAGGATGAGCCCAAGATTACCGAGTACGATACTTTAGCAGGCGACGGAGATTGCGGCCAAACGCTGCTCAATGGAGTGAATGGTAGGTCTGGGGAATCCCATAATATTTTAGATGAACTGACACCCTGATTTTCCAGGTCTTGTGAAAGAATTCAGCGGGGATCAACAGAGCACAATTGACATCGGGGATCTGTTCCGTCGCATTGCCTCAACAGCAGAGAACTCAATGGGAGGCACATCCGGAGCCATCTACGCCATCTTCCTGAACGCAGTTGCCAATAATCTTGTCGCTTCATCTGCCAGTTATAAAGAGGTAGCACCCCTTCTCCGCGCTTCACTTCAGCTTGGTCTCGGGGAGTTGTGCAGATACACACCGGCGCGCATCGGTCACCGCACCTTGATGGATGCACTCATTCCCTTCGTTGATACTTTCGCTCAGAACGGCGATTTTTCCAAAGCGGTAGATGAGGCCAAGAAGGGCGCTGAGGGAACAAGGAGAATGGAAGCGGCTCTTGGTAGGGCCAGCTACGTAGGAAAGGAAAGATTTGAGGAAGAGGGCGGCATCCCCGATCCTGGTGCGCTGGGTGTAGTGAGCATTCTACGAGGTATCCTTGCAGAATTATAGCGTAAAGAAGCCCAGTAATTATGAAAAATTGGCTCTCAGCGACAACATCAATCACTTAGTCAAGTTAATGTATACAGGTACCTATGCAAACGTTGCGACAGTTTATGTTAAAGGCAACCTCGTCAATGTAAGAATGGTTCGCAAATTGTTTCTTGGTTAGGAATTGCTCACCGACAATCTGCCCGGGGTTTCACTTGGCCAATTCTGGGGAGATTATCACCCTGGTTCTGCTCAAATACCTACATACCCCTATCTTCCTATATACTTCCAAGTATCCACGCAACAACGAGAAAGCCAGGCACGATGCGTCAAACTTGTCTATGCCAATGTCTAAAGATAAAATGCAACCATCCTGACACTCTACGGCAGCTGCCAGTGGCCATACGGGAGCGCATCTACCTTCATGCTGGCCTCATCACCGGTCAGCGCCTCATCTACGGCGACCCGCTTGAGGACGACGACACGCTTCTATTGATGCGCATCTGCCACCAAATTCGCAACGAGGTTGAGGCATTGATCTCAAAGCACAACGCCTGGGCCTTCACAGTATCTATTGAGGAGAGTCTTCTTGAGCTCCGGGCATGGACGCCAGAGGCGTGCGCCAGACTCCGCGACGTGTATATCAACGTGAGGGACTCGGATTATTTGCCTCTTACGTGGAGCCTCATTCGGACCTGGCAAGGTGCCGCGAAGCACCTGCTAGAACATGCCAAGCCAGGTCAGCTCAGGCTTCATGTTATATGCCACGTGGGTGAAGATGTGGCCAGGGCTAGAGCTGTTGTCAAACCGTTTGAGCAGTTCCCAGGTCGTCTTAGAGAGCTGGAGCTCTGCCTATCCAACTATGCTTCCCCTGACCTTCTGAAACTAGCTCGCGAGACAGTGGTCTGGGCTCAAGTACCTGATGAGGAGGAGGCTCATCGTGCTAATCATTCTTTCCCGTTTTTCAACCTTCCTCAGGAGATTCGTCACCACATTTTTCAGTACACGGGCCTCGTTCTGCCTCACCGGAATGTTCTCTGGTTGCCGGACGGCAATGGGTTCCGCCGCCAATACATATGGTGCGAGTGTGATGGGACTGTGTGCCGCGAGAGGGACCTCCATTATAACCGAAGGTTCTACCGATGTGAAGTAGAGGAAGTCTTTTGCGCAAAGGGTAACAGTAGCTTTTCGACAAGCTGTAGGCATGAGGCCGCGCTGTCTCTGTTGCTAGCGAGCCGGGCCCTTTACCAAGAGGCCATCGCCTTCTTCTACGCGAGCAATAAGATCACCATCGCCGCTCGCGACCACCCCGAACTGGCGGTATCCATGTGGGACCCTACTAACATCCCACCTCCTCGCGTAGATGACTGGAATGTTCCGGACTGGGAGCGTGAGGAGTCAGACTCGGCGGAGCAGATCTTGCACGATCCTACAAGACTTTTCATTGAGCATGTCGGCACCGCTGCTCTGCGCCATCTCCGCAATATTGAGATCGTGCTCCCAATGACAACTTCAAACTCTAGCCTCGATGACACGTTATCCATATATACCGAATGGCTTGAGGCAGTTGGCCTTCTCGCCGAGCATTGCAACGTGACGGCCTTGACCATTTCGATACATGTCTTCACCATGCGCGGGTACTTCCGTCAGCCGCTATCGTTCACCGAAGACACCCGCCGGACGCAGAGCCTCCGCATGCTTGCCCCTCTGAAGAGGCTGTCAGGTCTTGGTCGGCTATTCGTTCTACTCGAGTGGCCTCGTCACTGGTCATCCTTGAGCCCAAGGCTTGACATGGAATCGTCCGGTATGCCCAAGAAGCCTAGTCCAGGGTGCGGTATCGGCGAGCATCGCATACCGCCCTCGGAGCCCATTCTCATGCAAGAGGAGACACAGCTGGAAAGACAGATTATGGGCGAACAGTATGATAGCTTTGCAGTAGGCAAACGAGAACTTCTCCCCAGCCCGTGGCTTCGTCGCGATTGGGACTATACTGTGGGTTAATTGGCTTTTCATATCATCGCGATTTATCTTCAAAAAGCAATTTGAATCGGAGCTTTTGGTTTACTGACCTTCTACAACGACAAGTTCTAGGAATGATATATCTCCACAACATGTACCACCTTGAAAATGATAGCAACGGAAAAGACTTTCCTTATACCTAAATCTAATTGCTCCTTAATTTGAAGCAAAGATGTATATACACTGCCTATAAGAAGAACATAAGCTAGGATATCCCAGATAGTTGGGAAAAAATTTTTTTTAACTATATCACTTGGCTCAACAGTCGGGCATCGATGTGGCGACCCAACTACAGTAGACACAACTCTTGGCAGGTAGAGCTGAGGATAATCTTACATTCTCGCTACGACTTTCCCCCGCTTCCAATCTTTGCCTTGATTTATCTCGCAATAGCAGCCTCAAGAGCTTTTGAAATCCAACTAACGCCGCTATGGAATCACTGGAGAACGCCGATGTTTACACTATAGGCTGGATTGCCGCTCTGCCAATAGAGCGGGCAGCGGCTACGGCACTACTCGATGACCGACATTCTGTGCCTCAAGACTTTGAGCAGAACTCATCAGACTCAAACTCCTACACTTGGGGTCGGATGGGTGTGCATAACATCGTGATAGCGTCTCTGCCCGACGGGCAGTACGGCACTACTTCTGCCGCGACTACAGCGTCAAATCTCTTGGCTTCCCTGCCTCAAATTAGGATTGGTTTGATGGTCGGTATTGGCGGGGGTATCTCACGCCCAGCTCAAGAGCGTGATGTCCGACTTGGCGATGTGGTTGTCGGCCGACCTAGTGGAACCATCGAGGGCGTCCTTCAGTACGACCTTGGAAAAGCCAAATCGGGCCAGGCCTGGGAGAGAACGGGTCAGCTATCTAGCCCCCCTCAAGTGCTCTTAAATGCCCTTTCAAGCCTTCGAGCAGAGCATGAGATAGGTGATCCCAAAATGCTGGAATTTCTCAAAACGATGTGGGAGGCGAACCCGAAAATGCGAAAGTCAAAGAACAAAGTCCCTGCTTTTATCCATCAGGGCTTTGAGCACGATCGGCTATTCAAGTCGGGGCATGCTCACCCGTTGGGCAATAAGACTTGCGAGGCCTGCGAGGCAGCTTGGGAGGAAGAGCGCGATGAAAGAGATACGACGGACCCTGAGATACACTACGGACTCATTGCATCCGGCAACACTCTTGTCAAGGACGCCGACATTCGCGACAAGATATTGCAAGTTGTTGGAGAAGATTGCATTTGCCTGGAGATGGAAGCTGCCGGCCTTATGAATCACTTTCCTTGTCTTGTAATCCGGGGAATCTGTGACTATGCAGATTCCCACAAGAACGACCGGTGGCAACGATATGCCTCGGCCACAGCGGCTGCGTTTGCCAAAGAACTTCTTACTTATGTCCCTGTCAAGAACCTAAAATCGACGCAGAAGGCTATTGATATCTTAAGATCAGGTAAGGATTCAGAGAGGGTTAGCTTTTACTATACTGATAAGCGTCTAGTTAGTGAAGACCTCAGGGCCACCCAGGCTGTGACAATTAGTACGAAGGAAGACGTTGAAAACATTCGGTAGGACAACAGACTGGTCATGATATGAGAGGATCATATTAACTAGCTACCGAACAGTTCGAATGTACTAGCTATCGATCAGAGAGAATTGTTAGATCGACTTCCGGTGGCTGAAGGTGCTGTATTCGATTCCAGCTTCAACCAACATGACCCATTATGCCTTGATGGCACACGCCGGGAAGTTCTGGAAGAGATAGATGAATGGTCCAAGGATCCAAATCGTGAGAATATATTTTGGCTCCATGGAAAAGCAGGTACAGGAAAGTCTACCATTGCCCGAACAGTCGCTCGTAACCTTGCAGCTTGCAATCGGCTTGCTGCTAGCTTCTTCTTCAAAAGAGGCGCAGGGGATCGCGGTAGTTCCCAGCGACTTTTTACAACCATAGCAACCCAACTTACTCAAACGATACCTGACTTTGCTATTGAGCTGCGAGCTGCTATTGAAAAAGTGCCTGATATTGGGGGAAAAGCATTGGCAACCCAATACGAAACACTTGTCCTACAGCCATTGGAGGCAGTCAGGCGCCACCATTCGATAGATATGGCCGTCGTCATAGACGCCCTAGACGAATGCATCGGTGAGATGGATGTGAAACTCATAATCCAACAACTAGCAAGAGGAATTCAGTCTGCTCAAGTACCTATCAAGTTCTTTGTAACTAGTAGGTTCGAGCCGCACATTCAACTCGGTTTCCGCAATATTAGTGGGAAATATATTGAACTGGTACTACAGAATATCCCGGAATCTGACATAAAGCGAGATATAACGGAATTTTTTATATACAGATTGAACGAGATTCGATCCCAGTTCAACCTTCCCACAGCGTGGCCTCAGTCAAGTCAGACCCAAAGTCTTGTCCAGAAGGCTCTGCCTCTATTCATCATCGCGGCAACTGCTTGCCGCATCATAGAAGATGATAGGCTCCGCGGTGGTCCAAGGGAACGCCTTGAGATATTTCTCCAAGACCGGACTAGCAACTCTGACATCAATGAAACCTACCGTCTTATACTATATCAGATGCTGCGCCCTGAGAAGTTAATAGCAGTTAAAGATATTGACAATTATATTGAGGATTTCAAACATATTGTCAGCTCTATTATCACAGTTGCTGAGCCATTCTCACTGACAGCTCTTGGAAAGCTTCTGCAACAGTCATCCGAGGACCTCACACGAATCCTCAAACATCTACACTCAGTTCTCGAAATTCCGACAGACAAAGCCGCTCCAATAAAGCTGTTCCATCAGTCATTCCGTGATTATCTCATTGACTCCAACATGCAAGCAGGCAGATTTTACATCAACGATGAAGATACACACGTTATGCTCACGGATAAATGTGTCCAACTACTATCTGAGGGTGGCCATCTTAAACAAGATATCTGCAATTTGCAACAACCCGCGATATCTATTAGAGAAATCGACCAGTCTACCATAAATGAATGTCTCCCGCCAGAGGTTCAATATGCGTGTAGATATTGGATTTATCACGTAAAATACAGCAAAGCAAGGCTTCATGATGAGCACCAAGTGTTCAAGTTTCTTCAAACACACTTCCTTCACTGGCTTGAAGCCTTGAGTCTGACTGGGAGGATATGGGAGAGCACCAGCCTAATTGGCGAGTTACGAGACTTGATTGTTGTAAGTGAACCCTCAAGATAAGCGTCTACCTAGGCAAAGTCATAACCAAACTCGTAGCCCGGGGCTGGCGACGAACTGTTAATGTTCCTCAATGACGCTGAGCGCTTTATACTCACCAATCGATTCGCAATTGAGCAGACCCCCCTCCAATTATATTCCTCTATACTTGCTTTTATTCCAGAGAAAGGTAGCATTTGGGATATATTCAAAACACAGATTGTACCATGGCTGAGTCTAAAGCCAAAGACCGGGGCCGATTGGGACCCCTGTTTGCAAACATTATACGGCCACACTGAGGATGTCAAATCTATAGCATTCTCTCCTGACGGCAATCTTATTGCGTCTAGTTCCTATGACTGTACCATCAAAATTTGGTGTGTCAAGACTGGTGTGTGCATAAAGGAACTAGAGGGCGATAGAAGGAGCTCAGTAGCTTTCTCTGCTGATGGAAAGCTTTTAGCTTCAAGGTTTTATGATAACTTGACTATCTGCATATGGAATGCAGACTCGGGAGAGTGCGTGCGGACAATTCTTGCCGATAAAATGGTTTTAAGTATAGCCTTCTCACCAAACAAGCCACACATTGCCTCAAGCGACACAGGAAGTGCAATTCAGGTCTGGTGTACCGACACGGGTGACCTCGTCCGAGAGCTCCAATCTAGTGGACCTTATGTTGAGACCATTGCGTATTCACCCGATGGAGCGCTTATTGCTTCAGGCTTTGGTTACAACAAAGTCAAAATCTGGAGCGCCGATACAGGACTTTGTCTGTCGACTATTGATCGCTTCCGGCCATACGAGATATATGACGAGGTTATATGCGTAGCCTTCTCCCCCGATTCGAAATATGTCATGACTGTCACTTATCGTGATAATGTCGACATTTGGTCCGTTGAGAGCGGTGAACGGGTAAAGGTTCTTGAAAACACAAGATCTGTTGAGAAGGTAGCATTCTCGCCAAATGGAGCCTATATCGCCTCAGGATCACGCGAGGGGGTAGTTCAGGTTTGGAATGCCCGCACTTCTAAATGCATAAAGGAGTTCCACGGTCATATCAACGAAATTAACTCCATAACCTTTTCACCGGACGGATTATTTATCGCATCAGGTTCGAGTGACCAGACCATCCGAATTTGGGATTTTGACGAGAATGTTCATGTGCAGGATATCGCTGCACATCCTGAGGTTAAAAATGTCTTCTTTTCGCCTAATGCATCATACATTGCCTCAACGTCCGGGGACGCATCTACACGAATATGGCGTACTAGCACAGGTGAATGCGTACAGTGTCTTAAGTGCGAGAGCACTCTTCTTTCAATAGTATCCTTCTCCTACGATGAAACACTGATCGCCATAGCCTCAAGGCGCTCTCCGTTACGGATCTGGTCCATTAAAACAGGAGAGTGTATTAAGACGCTCGGGCCTGAGACTATGGGCGTTGATGCCATGGCTTTCTCCCCCTATACGAACCAGTTGGCATTTTTTATTATTATCGGCAAACTAACAATCTGCGATATTTATGGTTCTTACCAAAAGGAGTTTGAGACTGATGGTCGGGTCGACGCAGACACCATGGCTTTGGCCTTCTCTGCTGATAAACTCCACATCGACATCAGGAGTAGGACTTACTCTTCATCCAAATATTTCGTCTTGCGCATTGATACAGGCTACTTGAAAGAGATTTCATACATCCTCGGAGCTTTCGACGGTACTAGTTCGCGCTCTGTTGGGGATGATCAATCTAATGGCGAGGGTTTAGGTATTGATGAGGCTTTTTCCTGGGTTGCATGGAAAAAAACTAACCTTTTCTGGATTCCCACTGAGTTTAGGCCGCCATATTTAGAGTCTTATGCGATTAAGGGTTCTACTATAGTACTCGGCACCCGTCAAGGAAGAGTACTTATTATCTCATTTTTACCTAGTATGCTACCAAAAGCCCTAGCAGGGTGATAGAATAGGTTCTTAATATAATTTCATATCTAATACTTTCATTGTCACTTATATAATAATTAGGTACCTCCGGAGTTCAGCCCCAAATGCATAATTCTGGTGCATGAAAGGCTCATGAAGATACCGTAGAAGTCGATACGCGCGAGATATGACATGTCAGGCTGCTTAGTGGAGACTTTGACCAAGAACAACACTGCCACGGCGGAGAGTAGCGATTGTGGCACCTGGGCTAGAAACGCCAGACGCCGTCCCAAGGGAGCATTATCGTTGATCAGACCGCGAGTTAACCCTCCTAGCATTGCGCCACAGCCGTAGCACAAGTTCGCAATGCCCTGGGTAATACTGCGTTGGCGTAGTGGCACTAAGTCGGAGGCGAGGAAGTGTTGGATGCTTCGCAAGCTCGCGCCACCAAAACCTGCGAGGGCGCGGCCCAGCAGCATTGTGTACTGGTCTGTGGCCATGGCGCAAATGAGGTTGCCGGTGGCAAAGAGAATGTTGCTTATGACGAGGCCAGGGCCTCGGCCAAAGATGTCTGTAAGTCGGCCGGTGATGGGAAAACCACGGCGGCACAGATGAGATAGGCCGTGGCAATCCGTGACGGCTAGGCGAAGAACCTCCCCGACAATGAATGTACGACTTGTGAGGTGCTCCTCAGCCACTTTCAAGGCCCTCAAACTTTCCTTGGGGCTCTCCTCTACGGACTCTTTATCATAGGGTGTTTTGCCAACAGAGGACTTAGATCTAGAGTAAGAAACGCCAAAGTTAATAAAAGGCCCAAACTAGCGCCCATACGAGATTATCATAAGAAGGAAACTGAGGCTGCGGATTTCTCGACGGCCGTTCTTCTATGTATTCCTCTTTTACAAATAAGAACCGAAAAGTTCAACGTATTTCTCATCCACAATACCTCGGCAAAGTGCGTCACATCACAACACGGCGATCAACGTCTAGTTTCGGGTTGATCCATTGATTGCATTGAGCTGAGCTACGACAAGCGTTCAGTGGCTAAGCTAACCACGGACGACTTACTTCCCTACCCTTACCATAACTACGAAAATACATGTCCAATAGCTTAATATTGTGACTAAGCTTCGCCTTGTCTCAGGTTGCCACGAAACTACACAATAATGCTGTAGTATGACGTTGAGAGAACAGAAGTATACATAATCTTAGAAGAGAAACATCCGAGAACCCGCCCGGTCTGGCAGTGCTGGTGAGCGCTGGCGGCTACGCCCGTTGGGAGCCCGAGGGTTACATGGCATCCAAAGTATATGGTCTTAGTGAATCCTGCGCTGAACCCAACCTCTTGCTAACGTAATTTCGTTCTTGGAGAACCACCCGAGACTATGCAATCTAACCGTACACTGAAACTTGTCTAAGAGATACAGTCGTATGTGGCAATATGTGACGTTATGCGAAAACACCCATGCGAGATCATGATCTGGCAGTAGGAGAAATACAGTCACATGTTAACCCCGCGCGATGTTGGCCAGTGTAATTTCCCGATAGCAGCATTGTTAACAAGAAGTTCCTCATAAACGTACCTGAGGCGGAATGCGTTGCTGGACATTGATATAGGTTGACCAATCACCCGGCTTCTGGTGCTTGACTCGAGATGAACAGTAACGGCCACGGAATTCCATTTTTTGTCATACATGGGAGGATAACAAATGTTCATACAACCACCTAAAGCTCATGGCACCCGGAATCTACTCTTCGTTGCGGCATCATCATACGTAATAGTCCAAAAACAAAAAAGAATCTTAACAATCTACTTAGCCAATAGCTACAAGATAAGTTACATAAACATGTTCTCTTTTCGGAATAATTGAAAGATCCCAGACAGCAAGACCTTGTCAATGTAATTTCACAATGCTTAATGCATCAACACTTGTAATGAGCATCTTGAAGTCACGTAGCCAAGATATGTCGTCAGGGTCAGGCCTAAAGGCGAGAGCCATGAGTGGTATTCCGCACCTCATAGCTACAGTCACCAGCTTATCAGAAGCGGCATAGAAGCTTGAGTACTCCCTGTGGCACCGGGAGGTTTTCGGCATGGTAGACCAAGTGAGGCCCGAAGGTCGCCTGATCTAATGATTAAATCGTTGACGCCGAGTGTTTACGTTGATTTTCATACAAACGGTGACAGTAGCATCACCACGACCCTTTTCATCAGTTATAAATCCAAGGAATTGGATCCAATCTATGATTGCACGTAATTTAAATCTTTCGTCCAGGCTGATGATAATCTATGAAGAAAATTGTACCACATAGCCCTCATAACCTCACCGGCTCGCAAACAGCATTCTTCGAGGAACGTTTCCAGTCTCACTCCTCACGAAAGATCTAACAAATTGAAATACGCCATACTTCTATTCCAAATCAAATAATGGACTAGTATTATAGCCCATGTATGATCACAAGCCTTTTCCTTATAAAACAGCCCTATCGAGACAAGCCTCGGCTAGCCGAACAACTTCATACCTGGGAGGCTTGTGGGTCTGCCTCGACAGCTGGTCTAGACCTTATTACTTACCACTAGAATAAATCAAGACACGGAGAGAGCCTCCCGTGGACTTCTAAACAGAGATCTCAAATCACCTAGGAATCTTGGCATTAGATATGGGTTATCGCTTACAGGAGGAGCATGCAAAAAACACAGAATCCCCGAACCAGTACCAATTGTGCATACTGGGGCTCTATCACCTGCCTTTTGAGGTTGAATACGGATGACTGTCTATGGACAAGCTTCAGGGCCCGGAGCCTGGGGTCAAATAGAGTAATTAACTGCTCGCGTGGCGAGCCTGCAACCCTGATTTACGTACCCACTGTGCCGCGATGGGATCGTTCGAAATCAGATCCAATTGCTAATAACCTTCGTGAGCAGGACACAAAGCTTCGCATTTTCTTGTCAAGAAAGCCTTTGCCCAGAAAGGAAGCCAAGAATCAGGAACGAGTGCCCTGGTCTAGCGCTGAGCGGGAAACACACCGGCCTGGACGGATGTCATTGCTAAAAACCAGGTGCCCCAAATTGACTCGAGCAACGACCATGGTTTATTGGTCATATATTGGACACAACCACCCTCCCACAGATAGTAATGTAATGGTGCTGAACCGACATCGGGTGGTCACCGAGATGCGCGGAGGCCTCGGTGGCAATAGTGGATGGTCCCAACACTTCGGATGGGTCGATTCAAGACTCGATTGGCAAGGCTAAGCGAATCTCCTGACTCGGTCACCCACACTACCTGCAGGGAGCGTGAAAAAATAGTGTTCCAGAAGCCAACAAACACTGTAGCTAGCCTCGGGGGCGTCTGCCAAATGCCGCACATCTCCACCCTCTAAAATCAAGGGGCCAACACGCCATCAAGGTGGGCAGAACCAACGAACAGGAGCTTGAGACTGGCGACACATGAAGGCTGTGCCCCTGGGATATGTGGGAACGGTGGGCTCCGAAGACGATAGTCTCTCGCGCCCCTGACCCTACCAACATGAAGGGGCTAGGTGATCGGTGCCTTCGGATCGTGATTGTACAGAGTTGGTTATGCGTCTAGAGATGCAGGTCAGCTCAGTGGACCCTGAAGCCAACAACATCCAATCGGCCCTGAAGACGGGCTAGAATAGATCAGATGAAGAAGGTTTTGACACGCAGGCAATCGTCATCGCTTGTGAATCATGGGCGAGATCCGCCTTTATGGGGCCATGTTTGCTTTTGAATTTCCCCTACATACCCCATCCATCCCCCCAACCTTGTCCGTTCGACGGCGGTGCATCATCTGCAGCTCTTTGACAGAGATCATCGATCGTCCCTGCAGGACTGCGTCCGATCTTAGATCCAATCCCCGCAGCAGCGGCTGCAACAGCAACTATGTCTTCGTTTGTTACTGAGATGTGGTCGTGGTACGCAGTCACCGTACTCATTGTTCTGGCGAGACTGTACGTTGGTTGGAGAATCTAAAGATCTTGTATCTATTAATTCTGTGAGCTGACCTGACCTAATAGGGCATCACGACGACTTCTCTACAAATCTTTCAAGGCCCTGCAGCTCGACGACTGGCTCATGTGCTTCACTCTCATCGTATATACCACTTTACTCGCGATTGTCTGGGTACAGACCTATACTCCGACAAACCTTGTGCGGCCGGGCGACGAAGTTGGCATGTCGGAAGAGGAAATAAAGACGAGGGAATATGGATCCAAACTTGTTCTCGTAACTGAACATCTGACCGTGGTCACTCTCTGGGGAGTGAAGGCCTGTCTGTTGTTGATGTACTCGCGATTAACGTAAGCCTCGAATGTTCGCCGTTGAGTCCGCTTCGACCCCAACTAACGCCATCTGTTCAGCATGAGTTTGAGACAAAATCTCTTAGTCAAGTTTGTCGCAATCTATGTCGCAGCAAGTTTTGTTGTCATGGAGATCCTCTGGTTTGTGTGGTGCAGACCCTTCCATTACTATTGGAAAGTTCCTCCACCTGATTGTAGGTCAACTTCCTTCTTCTCACGGCGGTATTCAAGAAGATTGGCTAATTAATGCTGTCTTTAGTGAATTGCTCCGCTGAAACAAATCATATGATCACGGTGAGTTTCCTGGGAACACCTACTCCTTGTATAATTACTAATTCTCTGTATCAGCAAGCCGTATTTAACATTTCGTCGGACATCATGATCATTTGCCTTCCCATGCCAGTTCTCATTCAATCTCAGCTCCCTACAAAGAGAAAGCTCATTCTTTGCAGCGTTTTTGCTCTGGGTATCTTCACAGTAAGACTTCTACCAATAGCAATGTCGTCGAGAACGATGTTCCAAATCTTCTATGCTGACGCTTCTCCTCTCTTCTAGATTGTCGCGGCTTCTCTTAGCAAATATTACAGTCTGGGTTCACCATATGGCACTGAGTGGATATTTTGGTACATCCGCGAGGTTTCTACCGCCATCATCACCGCGAACCTACCCCTCACATGGACGCTACTCCAGAGGATCTTTGGCCTCTCAGCTTTTTACAACTCAAGATACGGAAAGTCCTCCAACCCACGCACGGCCGATGCCACCACTGGTGGACGCTTCCGCTCTGCCTACGGAAACTTGAGCAGTCGTGTCCGAGACGAGCGCACGCCAAAAAGGCCTGATCCGAACGAGATCGAGATCAGCCCATCGTCCAGCCAGGAGCAGATCAACGGCGAGTACGGGCTTCCTCTCAAGATTTGGCAGCAACGAGAAGTGCGTATCACGACTGAGGAAGTCACAACCCAACATGGGCGAGCGCTGTCTCATGATAGTACACCAGGGGTTGTTGAACCTGTCAGTTACACCGTTAATAATAGCCCACCTGGGAGTATCCACGGTGACAAGTCCGTGGATGCCGAGATGGGCGTTGTCACAAAGGTGTCACACGGAGTATAGAATATTCACTGTTTTAATATTAATAGAAATATAGATAGTAATTTGTATTGTTTTTATAACTTACTGGGTGAAGTGTAAGATTAACATGCTTTGCTAATAAGGGGACAACGATCTACTCCTAGCACTTAGCATTAATTAGGATACACCATTCAGCTAGTTAATCGCACCGGGTTGACCGGCAGGACTTACCGGCAGATTTGACAGCAACCGGAAGCCATACCTAACAAGGATTCGACAACTGCTGGGGGCGACAAGTCAGCAAGACTAGTAAACACGTTGGCTTCTTGGCGGTGTCAGTTCCTCTTGGGTCTTGCCCAACACGTGGGGCTAATTACTGGCCTAGGAAATTACCAGAGCTCTGGCTCAGTGGTATAATCCAACGAGTCAGCCATTCTAAACTACGTGAAGTTTTATGTTGCGCTCGGGAAGAGACGCGATTCCACTCCCTCTCTGCCTCCCCTGCCCAGGTGGCATCCAGGCAAGAGACAGGTTCGAGTAGTTCACAAGATTGAATTATAGGATGGCATCAGGGGCGTGGACTTGAAAGTGGGGGTTATTCAACGGAGGGATACTCGGGTTCGATACTGATAGGCGATTTACGAGACCATGGAATTATCTCTAACTTCTCAAATAGATACATTGCAATTTAATTGAGTTATGACAGCCATGTATGGGCTCGAATTCTGTTTTTAGATACGCTAAGGTCAATATAAAGTGCGCCAAGGAAACAAACCATCTTCGATGGAGTGGAGGGATTCGTTCCATTTTTATAAAACATGGTAGTTGTGCGTCTTACAATCTAACTGTGCACGCCTCGCTCAAGTTAATGTATCAATTCCAGACGAATAGGAGACAAAACTACCACGTCTTCTCCCACACCCTGCGCCAAAATGGCATCTCAGCCAGACGAGCCTTCTCAGTCTCCTCAAGGCCCCCTTCTTCCCACTGCCTACATTCAGCATTAATCTCCGCCATACCACTATGGAGATCCGCCTCAGCAGGCTTAACAAATCCAAAGCCGCAGCGGCCCTCGAGCATATATTTGATCTTGCCAACCAAAAACATGAAAAAGGCAAAGAAGAGAGCAAAGTAAGAGGTGATGAAGCCTCTGGTATCCCACGGGGAGAAGACGTCGAACCCAACGAAGAATAGCGCCACACATCCCATGACCAAAGACACGATAGGGCTCCAGGGCGTATAGGGGGCGACGTAGTAAAAGTGCTCATCAGTCAAACCCTGGGCTTGACGGGCACGCCAGAATCCCATATATGTGATGAGCATGAAGACGTATGTTGCGATAAGTGCGGTTGTTGTTAGATCGACAAACCAGTAAAATACATCAACGGCCTTATTAGAAGCGGCAAGGAAAGTGATGCAGCTAATCAAGGTAGTAATCAGCACACAGTAGATAGGCACACCTGCTTTTGTGCACTTGTTCAGGAAGGCAGGTGCTTGGCCATCTAACCCACACAACATATTAGTTTCATCCGGCATAAGATGATGACACTCCAGACGGTGCTCCAAAACTTACCACGAGCAAGGCCGTAGAGTGTTCGGGATGCCGAGTAGAGATAAGCATTGCCACACGACCATCCAGAGAGTAGGATGAAAGCATTGATGAAGTGAGGGAGGAAGCTTATACCGAGATTCTGGATCCCAATGACCCACGGACTTGCTCCGGCACCAGGCTTGCCGTCCTCAATGGCACCGAGTAACCCTTTATCTCGAGAGGAGCAGATGACACCGACGGCGACAACTCCGATGATATAGAACCCAACAATACGATAGAATATCAGGCTTGCGACACGAGGGATCGTTCGGCGGGGGTTCTGGATCTCTCCGGCGGCTAGAGCGATCATATCAGGACCAGCCACGGTGAAACCCGCGTATATAACAACTTTCCAAACCCCAAGGAACCGCCCTGTCGCACCCGTCGTGTGATAGGCATGCATGGCACCGTCGTTCCAGTTTCGAAAACCGTAAGCGTCGTGTTGGGGATTCCCGCCCGACATCGTAACGATGGTGATGAGAACGAGCAAGACCAGCAAGAAGACCTTGGTAGAAGCCATGATGAACTCGGACTCTCCATACCACTTCACGGCCACGATATTGAGAATAATACAAACTCCCATTCCCATCGCTATCCATGCCGCGGCATTTGTTTTGGTATCCCAGTACCTAAGAGTGACGAGTTAGAAATGCCATGCGCAAGACGGAACGGTATTACGGACTGCATGACTGTTGCAATGGCGCTCAATTCAGTACAAACCAACATGAGTCCCGCAAAGAAATATGTCCATCCCATGGTGAAGCCGATGGATGGGCAGACGAATCGAGAGGCCAATTCGAAGATGGAACCGCGGACGGGGAGGTAAGCACACATTTCTGCAACAACAAGATAGAGAGGCCAAATGAACAAAACACCCCAGATCGCATATCCCAAGATTAGCGAGAGGGGGCCAGCCTTGCTCAAAACACCACCGATACCGACCTGGACGAGAGGGAAAATCGTCAGCTCAAGCCATTGTGTGCTTGCCTCAATCTACATACCCAGATGCCAATTCCAATGGAACCACCGATAGCCATGAGCTGAACATGTCGGGGTTTCAGACCTCGATGGGTCGAACCGTATGTCTGGGTAAGCTCAGTGTCTCGGCCAGTCTCCTTCAGCTCGCCTTCAGCTACCTGGTGGCTCCGCACATTGGTAATGTCGCCAGCCTCAACTTTGTCTTCCGCCGTCGCCATTGTAACAATTCCTCTCTCAGGATGTGGCAGTTTTATAATGGCAGTGGAAGCACACAAGATTGTAACCTTCAGAAAGAGGTGACAGGACAGGGGATGTGCGGAGGCAAGCACCTATGATTCTACTTTATACTCCGCAATCCAAACCCCAACGCCACCGTGTGCATCAAACAAGGTGTGGCACGACTCATGTAACCTAAGCTTACAGCCCGAGATAGAGCTTATCTGCTGCCCTAGTATGCTTCAAGTCAGCGCTCTAGAAGCCCAGGGTTCTCGATACCATCCCTGGATGATAACAAACGCCAGCCACTGTCTATCAAGTGGGCTCATAAAGACCTGCGAACGTATCAGACGACCATTATTCAGTAGGCGTTCGGCCCTGGTCCAAGTCTGGCTGGCTAGCCGGCACGATACGACGCTGGCCGGCTGTGAAGTTACTCAGGTGACAGGCAGAGCAGGGATGTCCGACACGGTTCCAGCAAGGAGACAGCCGCTGGGGAACACGGATTCCGCCATAGACTGTCGTTCTAGGAGCCAATCGACATTTTACTTCAGTAGTTGTGCTAAGTGATTTTGCCAAGCGTGATTAGAGAAACCGACTCATTGGTAAGCGAGGTTGAGAGGATCAAGTCTGGAAGAAATCCAGTCTGGAAGAATGAGGTAATTGAGCTCGGGCAAATCCGAGTTGCTGAAGTGACAACCCCCGCACCTGATGCTTGAAGATATGTCAGATCCCCCCAGGTTTCCCAATGGCACCTCCCCACCCTTATCTAGCCTGGGTAAGTTGAGGCAGAACGTCGCTGATGATTCAAAACACAATGTTATACATTTGCAGGCTATGGCAGCAGTTCGTCTGATCGTCAAGCATGGAACAAGTGAGACAGGTACGCACCAATTGAAAGCAACTGATACCCATGAGGGCAAAGCGATACCATCCCATCCCCAGCCTGGTCGGAACCATGTCGGTCGCTCCCTCTGTCCTTATCAGCATTACGTCCAAAGGCCAATCGCCGACGACCTGGACGAATTGCTAATCGCGTCGATCCCGGCCCATATGTAAGCAAGGAAGTCTCGCCACCAGTCGTACGATCTCAGGGCTTGTACTTGTATGTGGAGGAATGAATGAATTAGGATGAAACTACAAAAGTTTCTCAGCCATCTAACTAGCAAATAAAACCACGAAACGCCAGATTATACAACTTCCTACATGCGCCTGCCTGTCTTACCAGTCTCCAATACCTTTGTTTTCGGGGGAATATCGCCAAAAATCCAAGTAAGTCAATCAAATAAGCAAAGAAATTGATAAGGTAAAGAAATATTCCCGCACACGCCTAGGCTCCAAAATATATCGAGCTATTTATCCCACATCCGGTCGCCCGGTAGCACCCTGGTGCCCTTGGTGGTGACGAGGATGGTATTGCGGGTGCTGTTGCTGGTGGTGTTGCTGAGGATGGGGATTGCCATCCATGTCCACACCGAACCCGTAGCCCTCTTCAAGCATGGCAGAGAGGCCTTCGAGGACGGGCATTGTCGAATAATTCCAGTCAATCCCGAAAGTAGATGCCGTATCCGGCGGCACACTGGTGTCTGCGCTGTCCGGTCGTAGCCTAGCCACTGTGCCAGGATCGGCACCCCAGGCTGTTCCTCCCGGTGTTGTGTCGAGCGGCGGCAGCGCGCTTCCAGTCGAGAAAGATGCTGCAGCCAGCTCCTCCGGCACGCCCGTCGAAGAATGGTCCGTTGGGGCCGGCTGGACTTTCATGCTGCTGCCGGTCTTCCATGCGCTCTCCCATCTCTTGAACATCTCGTAGCTAGACTCGACCGCCTGACTGGAAGCCTGGACCTGGTTGTTTCCATCCTCCATCCTCGCAATGGCGTGTTCGAACGCTTCAATAAGCGATGCGTCGAATCGTGCCGAGGCACCCCAGTTAGACATGCTCTTCAGCATCTGTAGGCCCTCCCACAGGGGCTGCCGCAAGTAGTCTGTCCTGTTGCGCTTGGCCAAAAATTGGGAGAGAATTACGAGCAGCGCGATACGGAGAGTGCTGAATTCCGTATACGATGCTCGCGCGAGACCCATGCTGTTATTCAGCAGCCGGCAAGTATCGACGACGAACAGGGCCGCGTCGACGCAATCGGCCACCAAGAGCTGGCGTCTCTGCTGCGAAGTCTGTGAGGCAACCTTTGTCCTGGGGCTCGGTTCGTCTGTGGCCGAGTGGGAGGATGAGGGTACCAGACTATCGGTTGGCTTGTTGGTTGGTACAATAAAGAGCCGTCCAGCGTACATGCGTACCATGCAAAACTCGAGGCGTAGATGAAGAGCAGCACGTGGCACAGGCATGCCCGCCATGAGGCCCGGATATGACACATTATCAGGAAGACACTGCCACCATTTGTGAAGATCCTCCTTTATCTTGACCAGTCTTGTCAGAACATCAAGTGTGATCTGTTTATTTTGTGTTTTGAAACGAGCGCTAGAGTCATCTGGTTAGCGCACGAAATGTCTGAGGCATATGGCGTGGTGACAAGCCAAGCTTACATCTCTTTGGAGACCTGTCCAAGAAATTCTCCCAGGTGCAGAGTCGCAATAAGAAAGGATGTGTTAGTCGGTGGGGAGCCGGGCCAGATCTCTGGCCTCTCAACAGGCCAGTCGGCATCCATCTCTCCGCTGGAGATCGAAAGTGGTCGGCCATGAAGGGTACCAACTCGTCTGAACAGGTCAGTCATGACGACTCGGGCGAGGAAGGATACTATGTTTTTGCCTTTGGTGAGATGAGATTGGTTTGTACTTACTTTTCCAGAAGATACAAGGTCCACCATACTCGGTTCCTCGTTTCACTTGTATATGGATGCAAAGCCTGGTCTGGGGCTTTCCTGTGCATACCGTTTTGTATGGCAACCTTCGAAGCGAGATTCAAGTAAACCCAAGATATCCCCGAGGGGTCCAAAGGCAGTGTGTAGAGCCCAATAAGAAGGCATGCTTGGACACTCTCAAGCGACGCTATCGTGATGACGTCGGGGAGTAATCTGCAGGCATCTTGATATAAAGTGACGCCAACATTATCCTCTGAAAACATATTTTGGTCTTCCCTACCACCATTACTTGTTCGACAATCCAAATAAGCGTACTGCGTACCAACTGCAAAAACCATGAAAACGATGCATAGAGTCGGGACATCTCTCTGGGTCAGTGATGAAGGGCTATCGTAAATGACATCCAACTTTCTATTCAGCCATGTCCGATCAATGAAGAAATAGTTGGACTCGGCGTGGTTGAAAAAGACCCGTGTGAGAAAGTCAGCAATGCCGCGGGGAGGGCAGCTTGATAATAGCTTGGAGGCATCGGAAGGACTCTGAAGCTCCTCTATTCGATAAAATTCTCTAATCTTGGGAGCATCGGGCGCATCCTACAGACATAGTCAGCAACGTGCACATGTCAAATACCTAAGGATGGCAAAAACACAGAGGTAGAAGGTGAAGACGGTGCTAGAGGAGGTGACGAACAGTTCGGTAGGGTCCAGATTGGTCAATCCAGTTTTTGATACGCATGGAAAAGTTCCAATGGGAAAACTCTCCGGAGTAATCTGCACACACCTGATCAGCACGACGCGCCTGCATAAACCAATGCGACACATAAAGCGGCAGCAAGGTATAAGGATGAGAGAAATTGAGGTTCCTGTACGTACGGGTGACATTATTCTCAAGAGGTTGGACAGTGATATCGTCGAGCTTCACGTCATCCGCACTGTCCGAGGAGCTGTAGGTAATGCCATCATCACGGGAGGCCTCATGTGGAGGTAGGCCCTGACTAACAGCGTCGGCTAGTCTTTTTAGGCCGTCGGCATCCAGGTTGATGTTGCCGACGTAGTGTGAGACAATCCTTTGCAAATTACCTACAAGCTGCTGGAGTTCTTCAGGTGTCTGCTCGGAGATGGGCCGGGGCGCTGCTGTTACACCGGAGCCGGGGACAGGCTCATCACCACCGGCTGTGGCGAATTTAGAGGTGGCCCCGGAAAATACACAGGGACGCTTCAGATGAGTGCAGCGGCGGCACGGCATGCCACCCTCGCACCTCTCTTTGACTTTGCGGCAGCCATCGCAGCTAGGGGACAATACAATTAGCTGGCGAGCCAATGACGGGGTTGCTAATGCAGGGCGGCATCTGGACGGAGTTGGTTGGTGACAGGACAGGGAAAGACGCGCAGTCTACAGGGGAGCGGGTCCATTGAGGGCAACGTGATGGCAATCAATACAGGGTAGGGCAATCGAGCGCGGGCAGGGAAGCGAAGGGAAGAGCAGCGAAAAACAAGGCCGGGCGAGGCGAGGCGAGGCAAAGCAAGGCAAGCAAGTCGGGATGCCAGAAACCAAGGCAATGGCCCTTGCAGACACCCGTGACACGAGCAGGGGCAGACAGCACTCACGCTCGAGGGGCTCGACGCCGATTGGTATCATGCGGGCGACGAGGCTTCTGAGACTTTGGCACCTCGTCACTCTCAGGCATCGCTGCTGGTCATCAGTCAGGGCATGAGGCGGTGCGGTCGGCTTCCAGGACAGTGTCGCATTCCCGGTTTACCCTATGGGGCGCTCTGCAGGTCCCGAGGCGGTGTCCGATTCGACCAAGGAGCAGACGAAAGGTCGGATTAATTATCCCTCACAGCAAACTTGCATCGCAGGCCGTTGGACAAGGCACCCCTAAAATGAGAACCGAGGCCAAAGGAAGCCTCTGATCCGGATGACTCAGCAGTCGCCCCGCTGCTCTTTCCCCGCAAATCGGCCGCAGCGACTTTGATTGCTAATGAACGGCCTGTCCTCAAGCCTCGCTCCTTCCGCCGAGAGCCGCCATTTCTCTGCCTGAGGCCTCACTACCCTATACCTTACTAACATTCTGCCTGCTTCCTCGTGCTCTGGACACATAACATCTATATGTTCTTCTCTTGTGCGCATAAATTAATCAGTCGAGTGACTAAACCTTTTTCTCCATACCTTCCTCTGATAGTGGTGTTGTTGAGCCTCAAACCCACCGTGAATTGGGATGGTTCATGCCAAGGCTCCCAGTCCCAACAACCTCCATTCTAATGCCACTCGAGTCCCGCTCACTTAAGCTTTACGTACTCACATCTCAAGCGGTCGATCATTGAACACAAACAGACATTCGTCTAGCTGGGCCGCGCGCTTAATTCGGCTAAACGAAGGCCAAGAAGGTGGGTGCTAATAAAAACAAGGATCTTATCTGATCAGATAATTAATTGACATCTCATCAGCACATCCCATGTACGGTCTGCAAACCTCCGCTAAATAAAAATGAGAGCCTCCCCTGCTCCAACTTTTCTTTACTCTCCCCTTTTTCTTTCCAACATTTTGTCTATCCTAACACCATGACGCAGCTTCGCCCATTTGCATCTACTCCTGTCGAATCCGCTGAGAGCTGGAAAATCCAGAGTCCAGCTGGCGAAGTCTACTTGGTCCAAATCGGCTATCCTCGCAGCTGGGGCGACAGCTCTTCACCCGATCAAGACGAAACCACTGAATCCGAGATTCCTATCTTGTAATCCTTCCCTGTTTCTCTGTGTTCCACAGCGCGGTGTTTATTTACATGTACTCTAGGTATCTCACTGATGGAAACTCGGTCTTCCTGACAGCGCTCGAGGCCCTTCACCGACGCCTCTGCGCGTCGCCCGCCCCCTTTCCGCAGAGCATCATCGTTTCTATTGGTTTCGACGTCCAGCCGCGCTCAGACTTGCTCTTTGACAAGCGTAGAGGAAGAGACTTGACGCCTCCCGCGCCTGATTGTGGCCCAAATGCAGGCGGAGCCGACGTGTTCGCAGACCTGATTCAAGACCGTGTCAGGCCACTTGTCCACCAGCGATTGAAGGAGCGCCGCCGTGGTGCCGTCCCTGGAAAGGAAGCACTCTACGGCCATTCCTTTGGTGGGCTCTTCTCGCTGCATCTTTGCTTCACGAGGCCGTCCATGTTTGATACCTTCATCGCGAGCAGCCCGAGTATCTGGTGGCACGACAGGTTCATCTTACAGGAGGAGCTGGCATTCCGCCAGCGCAAGAACAG